AGAAAGAAACAATGCATTTAAATGACTTTTTCTTCCTCTTCAGCCCCTGGACTGCAGGCTCAGTTATGCTCCCAGCCCTGCTCCTGGGATGAATGAGCTGCCGTCACCTTCTTCATCCCTGCTCCAGTCTCTGGCAATAGCAAACCTCTGCCGAGCGATCTCCCAGCAAGGCAAATCCTAATATAACAGCTCTCCACGAAGGGACAGTGCTTCTTCCATGGCCCAGCCATTAGAAGCTATTTTTACCTGCTTCCACACGCACAGATGGGCCAGAAACAATCCAAACTCAGCACCCGTTATGCTTTGCCCAAAAGATTTGCTCCCTGGTTTTGCTGAGCTGCCAAAACAGTTGCAAAGGAGCAAGTAGAAAGCGGGCAAGCCACGGCCAGGCAGCTGCCGGAGCGTGCTGCGAGCAACGCTGGGGATGACAGTAGAGATGGAGAAGAGTTATTCATGTTTCCCCGAGAGCTGAGATCAGTTGAAACATCGTTTTCCTTGGGGACGGAGAGGGAAGAGCTCCCTTCAAACACATTGTCCCATGAGACTCATTAAAGGCTCATCAATTACAGTGAGAGCAAACAATTCAAGGGAAAGCTATCATAAGCCTTCCTTTGGATGGCAGTCATTAGCGGCTCTCTGCTGTGCTGCCTCTCCCCAGCACCAGAAAGGGAGCAAGGGGAAAAGACAAGACAGTGGTGATGGGGAAGCAGGAGCCAGATGGCCCAGGAGCAGGCTGGATGGGACCAGGTCGCCACAGCATCCTTGGCCGTGCAGTAGCATTCTTATAGGAAGCCCAGGGTGGAGATGAGTGTGCACACTGGACTGCAAGGAGACTTGGAGGGGAGGTGCTCCAGGACTGGCTGAGCCTTGCAGGAACGGCGAGGGATAAAGAGATATCCTTTGCCTTTCTCTGCCTTATTTTCTTGCTCTGCAGGTGGGCTCCTGGACAGAAAATTAGCTGCAAACCACAGAAGAATCCTTGGAAGGAAAGCAAAGGGCTGGGGTGTCTTTTAAAGATGATTTCAAAGTCATTATTAATGGAAGCTCAGGGACAGGGGCTGCTTTCCCACTCCCAGCATTGCTTCTGTAGGTTTGCAGCACTCACCCCTGTGCATGGGCGTCTCTTACATCACACATGGCCTTGGCATCAGACGCCTCTCCAACCACTCGCTCCAGGATGCTGACCTGAAGAAACACAGGGGTGGCAAACTGCTCTTCATGGCTGTGAGAGAAGAAAAAGGAAAACAGGAGAAGAGAAGGACACTTTCCTGTCAATTTTCATTGGTGCTCCAAGCTCCGTGGTGTTCCCTGGTGGAGGCATTGGCAGCATCAGACCACACTGCACTCACCCTGAGGGAAGGGAGCAGCTCAACGACCTGCACTAAAATAAACTCATGAATACCTCGTCGAGCAAACTGTAACGTCTGGGGCCACACATTGCTGCAGCCACCTCTGCTGGAAACGGTGTGAGACAGCTTCTGTCTAGTGCATAATGCAGTTGTGTTGCCTATGAACAGCTCGGTGCAGGACTTGGGTGTCCCCTGGCCATGGAGGGTGCCAGTAGCTCCTCCTGCATGAGTGCTGGGGCTGCTCCTCTCCAAGCCATGCACCACCATGGCTGCATCCCGCGTGCTCACTGAGAAACAGCACTGTCACCAATAGCTTTGACCCATGAGCTAAAGAAAAGAAACGCTCCCAGCTCTTCAGATCTCTCTGGAGCCAAAGACACCATATTGCAACCAGCACTTGGCTGGAGCAGCCCCGGGGCTGGAGCGGGGCCATCGCTGCCTTCTGGAGAACACAGCACAGGTGTCTGCCCCACTGGTGCTGTTTAAGCCTCATTACTAAGTAGCTCCTAACCTTTTCCTTCATCCTCTCTTTCCTGCGATGGCTGGCTGCCTGAGGAAGATGAGTGGAGGCAAGCACAAGTAGCAGCATCTTCCCAGGGGAATGGGCTAATGCCATTTACTCCATTCTCCACCAGCTGGGTCTTGGCTGGGGAAAGAGACCATCAGCGAGCACACGTCCTTGGGCTACAGACCCAGAGGAGGAGGCAGAGAAGCCTGAAGAAGGGATTGAAGTCGAGCCACTGAGCCCCAGCAGCAGGGAGGCCTGGATGCAGAAACCTGTGCACAAATGGTGTTGGCAATCAGGGCTGGCTGAAGGCACTCGGCTGTTGGCCATTAAACAATGCAGCCTGATTGATTGGGCTGCAGAGTGCTGTGTTGCGGGGTCAGCTTGCTGGGGTTACAGTTCTCTGCTTAGATTGATGATCCTCAAAGGTCAAATTCAGAAAGCAATTCCTCGGTAAAATTGATCCTTTGGATAACAAAACTTCTGTACATTAGTGAATGGCCGAGCAGCGAGAAATAGAAGTGACCTGGGCACAGCAGGCAGGGTGACCAGCTGCCTCTGCTTTCTCTTTAATTTTCCTTGTTTGCCCCAGTTAGGAAGTGAGAGGTTTCTCTGGGAAGAGCAATGCTCCATCACCCTGCAGTGATGCAGGATGGGGGATGCAGGGGCTGAGGATGTCCATGAGCACCCATCCCATCCCCATCCCACTGGCAGGGGAACATGGGTGCCTTCACAGGGCAGGAGATGGCTGGGGAATGTCCTGGGAGCTGGTGCTTGGCTCCACAGCAGCGAGTGAGTGGCATTTGTGTACCAGCAGGCACATCTGACTGCTTCTTGCACACAGCCGTGCATCACTTCCCTGGTAGTGAGAAGATTGGGTCCCATGGTTTTGGGGGGGGGGGGGGGGGTGTAGCTGGAGCCAAGTTAACAGTGAATGGGTTTCACCCCAAAACGGTTGCTTTGCCCTCAACAGGGGATGCCAGGAGCAAGGATGTGCTGCAGGCAGAGAAGGGGATTGAGGCTGCCCCAGGCTACCACGGGGGACCAGTCGGTGGTCACCCACTGCTTACATTCCCCCTGCGAGACCAGCAGGGTCCAGGACAGGAGCCAAGTGCTACCTGCCACATCATCAGAGGAAACAAGGGGGATGCCAGGCCCTACCCTCCTTGAACCCCCTCCCCTGCAGCTCTTAAACACCCCCTCAGCTGGATTTTAGGAGCACACTATTGCTGGCTCCCATCCCATTGCTCCCACCAAAGGTAGGAGGGAGAAGAGCTGCAGCTCTCAGAAGCTGTTGCTCTGATTCAGGCTGGGCCCAGAGCAGCAGTGGTGAAGCATTGACCTGCTTTAACCTGCTATCTCGCCTGCTTCCTTCTCGTCTGACTGTTCTGAAGTGAGAGAAGGAGGCCGTGCTGTGTGGATGCTGAATAATTCAGAGTCTGGCTCCACAGCATCCCAGGGCTGGGCACCACCTCTGCCAAAAGGCTGGGATAGCTCGGCTGAAATCCTTCCTTATCAGAGGCAGAGGGCACACGGTGATACACAGCATCCCTCCTATGCAGGTATTGGCCAAAGCTGCTTTCTTCCCCTGGGTGCCCAGATCCATGGCTTGCTCCCAGAGCACTGAAGCTCAGAGGCTGTTAGTGCTTTCAGACATGACGTGGCATCTCCAGCTCCTGCTAACACACAGATTCAAGTGGAGCACGCTGAGTGTGCCTGCCTCTGCTCCACGGATCGCATTTTCTTCCTTCCTCCCTTTTAGAGACTGCAGCTCCTCTGCTTGATCAGAGACAGGGCAGGGTTGTAAGACAGGGAGAGACACTGCTCATCCAGCTTATGCTGAGCCTCTGAGCGGGGTTTGGTAGAATTAAGGACAGGGAGGGGAGGGAGAGGTAAAACAAATCATACATGAGGTCACTCATCCAGCCATGCGTGAGGAGCAGCAAAGGCAGCCTTGGCAGAGCAGGCAGGCGGCTGGGGAGCATCTTTAGGATTGCCAAGGAAGATGAGAGAGACATCAGGAGCTGGTGGGCATGCACAGTGCTGGGAGAGACCCGGCTTTCAGCTCCCAGTCTAATCCAGGTTGCTTATCCCAGTGCAGATTGAGCACAGGAACCAACAGGCCATGTTTCCTTTGTCTTCTCTGCAAGCAGTTCATACCCCTCAGCATCGCATCTCTTGTGCAATTAGCCCTCTAAAATGAAGCACTGCTTGGTCAGACTTCTTAACCCGTTCACATAAGGCACTATGGTTTTCTAATGGTTCTGCTTCTGAGGGTGTAAATTACTGCATGAAGCAGTAAAAACCCATTGGGCTGTGCTAAGGATCCAGAGCCTGGAATGAAATGAGAGGTTTTGGTCCCCAAAGTCTCTGTCTGATGGCCTGAGCTTGGGCCCAGGAGTCACCAGAGCCGGGTGTGAGTTACGGGCTCAGCCTCTGTGCTCTGCATAAGTCACCTCCGGAGCCTGAGCAACAGGAATGATTGTGCACAGAGATAATTATTCCCTGCATACTGCACTACAGCTCATTAAAAGTTTGTTAATGTTTGCAAATTGCTGAGTCGTGCTTTTCGTTGTTGCCTTCTGTGGTGACGCGGGGACTAAAAGGCAGATTCTGATGGTGACTTGTTCTCTGTGTTATTTTGGTCACAGCAGGCTGCACGTAGGGAGAAGGGTTTGTGTTGGGCAGCTTCACGCTCTTGACTTTAGCACACTGCATGGGGGCCAAGGGGCTGCGTCCCACCAGTGTTAGCCATGCTCCAGCACGAGGCTGTCCTCTCTGCCTCCAAGCAAAAGCCTCCATCTGAGCTCCTCACCCAGCTTTCTGTGACAGCCTTCAGTCTCAGCTGGAGGCGTTGACTCACCATTAGATGGTCTGCGCAGTCAGATGGTGGGAGTAGAGAATCTCTCATCTTGGAACAGAGGCTGCAGATCCCTCTTAGGTGAGGAAGTGGACATTGGAACCCCAGCACCAGATACCTGGGGAAAACAGCTGAGTTCAGTGAGAAAGTCCTGCAGAAGGAATGGGGAAGGGGCAACCAGCACAACTTCACCACTACGTTTTCACACACGCAGGCAGCACTGCACTAGGGGCAAGGAAGAGTGGCAGTGACACCCGACAGCTCTTCTCCTGCCTTCTTCTTCCAGGTGTAAATGCAACCTCCACGCTAACCTGTGCACCTTCAAAGAGGGCAGCCTTCAGTGCGAGTGCGAGCACAACACCACGGGGCAGGACTGCGGCAAGTGCAAGAAGAACTTTCGCTCCAGGTCCTGGCGAGCAGGATCCTACCTGCCTCTCCCCAACGGGTCCCCCAATGCATGTAAGTAACCTGCAGCGAGCCAGCCCTGGCTGCACTCCCACCTTCAGCTGCACAACACCCGCAGAGGGGAGGTGATCCTCGTCTCGTCCTCCTCCATCTCAAATCAGTGCGGAATGTCTAGCTTTGGAAAGGGAAGTGGGTGTTTACCTGTGTCTTAGTACGCAGGGAACCGACAGAGGATCTGCGTGGATGCAGAGGTGACTTGTTGATTACTGGTAGAGGAGCGATGAGTTCAAATGATGGCCAACAATAGGAAGGATGGCCTTGAGCCAAGATACAGGTCCATGGCTTTGTGGCAGTGCAAATCACTGTCCTTTGAAGGCATTATTTAGCCGCAGCAAAGCACTGGCTGTCAAGTAGTCCACGGGCTGAGCGCCGGCACTGCTCAGCTGCGGGAGGGCAGGCTGCTTTCTGGATCTCTTTCTGGATCCTGTTCTGTGTTGGTATTTCAGGCAAGCTCCTCTGCGCAGCTCCAGTCTCATCCAATTGCCTGCTGGAGCAAGAAGCAAAGGCACGCAGATGAGATGAAGGCTGCATATCCACCATCATTCTTGCAGGGGAACTGGGGCAGGAAACATCACAGATGGGCCAGTTTCTCCTGGGTTTCTGTCCAGTCCACATTAGCAGACTTGTTTAAATGTCATGGAGCCACAGTAGCCACTCCAGCCTTTCAAGCAGCAGCTTTGAGCATCACCAAAGAGAATCTTTTCCCTTCCTCCCCCCCAAATTTTTTGAAAGATTTATGTGCTTTAAGATGATCAAAGCTGAAACTCGAGCTCCGAAGGCTGTGACGGGAATGTTTTGTGTGTGCCAGGGCTGGTAGATGAGCAGGTTCTTTGAAAGGGAACGAGCTTGTCAGCTCCCACCAAGCGGCTGCATTGCTTCAAAGGAGCTTGGGAGAGTTTCTGGTGTTGACAGGCACAGACATGCTGTTCTCTCCCTTCCCTCCCCTCCGTTCCTCGTGTCTCTTCCTATTTCTCTTTCTCCTCTGCTCTTTCTTCTCCCATTCATCTCTCTTCCCATCTGTCACTCAGTCTTCTCCCACCCTCCCAATTCTTACTGCTTCATCCTCCCTCTATCCTGTTCCTCTGCAACAGAGGCAGTTCTCTGAAGCCCTTTCCTCCTGGTGGTCTCACCTCTTCCATCACCGGTCCTGTTCTTTATGTTCATGCAAAGCTGAGACTTTCCATGATTCTTCCACTTGTTACAATGGGGAAGACCACGGCCATCAGTTTCCTGGGTGCTGAAAGCCAGAAGCTGGTCCTTGGGTGGCCCTCAACTGGTCGGTTTGAAGCCAGTGACTTCGCAGTGTCCTGTTGAGTGAGTGCTGCAGCAGGAAGGGTGTTCAACCTTCCTTGCTCGCCAAGAACTCCCCCGGCTGTGACAGCACCCGGTTCAGCCCTTACAGCTTGTACTTAGCCCAGTGAACCTCAGAAGATGTTCTTGGCCTATAACATCAAGGAAACGATGAACAGAAAAACCCATCATCAAGGACCATGCTGGTTTTCTCCCCCAGGTGAAAGGCTTGAGATGCCAAGACCTCAGACAGCACTGTCTGGTTGCCTCTGGGGTTTGACAAAAGCAGCTTTTAAGCTCTTGCAGCAAACAGATATGCCTATGAGCAAGACCCCTGCTAATTCCTTGATGTTCAGTCCCACGTCGTGACTCTGTGATCTTCTGCTGGTGTCAGAGCCAATGGTGTCCTGCTTCCAGTAACTGGGCTTCTCCTTGTGTTTTCCAGGTGCAGCTGCAGGCTCAGCCTTTGGCAGTAAGTACAACCATAACTGAAATGCTGGCGTTTAACACCTCGGTGCATGGGCCTTGTGGATGTCACTAGGAAACAAAAATGGTTGTTTTCTGTCCATTCCCATTTTCCAGGCAATAATTCTTCCCTAATTGTGCTTCATTTTCCATCCGGCCAAAGAGTCTTACATTTTCCTGCTTTGACTTCAGAAGCCTCATTTTGCCTCCCCCTCTGGCACGGTTTCCCCCCATGAGGTTCGTTAGTATGGCAGCCGGAAAGGAAATAAAAAAGCCTCTTCAAACCCATCAGTGCTCGCTGTGAACTTTCCCCCCCCTGCCCCAGTATTGCTGAACTCTGCTCTGAGAAGGAGCTGGGTTTGAATTATTTGGCATAGCATCCAGTCTGGGTTACCCTGGGCTGTCCTATCTAGAGCGTGTACATCCATATGTACATGTGTATGTATATAAACATACATCTCTGAAGTGTTGGCAGCAAAGATAGAGCTCCACTGGGATTGTTGCTGGAAGACTGATGGTATGATAGGAGTCCTTATTTAACAAAGCTGGAGGTTGTTTGATATCAAAGAGTCTTGAGGTTAGGGTAAGCAGAAACCTGGGCTTCTATTTTATGGCTCAGAATTACCCTCAAGAAGAAACAAATCAGGGAGCTGAAGGAATAATGACTTCTTTGGTCTGCAGGCAAGGGGAAAGAATCAGAGGAGAAGCAGTTCCAGAGAGGTACAAATGCAGTTAAGAAAAAATACACCTATTTGGAAAGCGGAGGATGGGTTTTCTGGGTAAATGAACCATATTTAGGTTTCAAGCAGTTAAACTGAAAGGGTTAAAAATTCCAAATAGAATTGAAGGAATCCCTTAAGTAATTTGGGATTAAAAACCCCAATGTTTTAACAGTCAAAACTACTCTTTTCCTGATGAAAACCATATTGATGAATCTTTTCTCCTCCCTTAACAGAACGTGGCATCCTCGGTGCTACCTTTGTGTCCCTGGAAAATGTTTCCCATCACAATGTCCTGCTAGGAAAAAGCTGTGGGGGTGCTGGGAGCGATGTGCAGGAGGTGGACAGGAGGGATTTGTGTCCAAGGCCGGTTAAGGAGAGATTATTTAGCCTGCATAGGAGACTAGGAGTGACCTAAATTAAGTATTTAAACTAGCTCAGGGCTATTATGAAATTAAGCATGATAATCTGCCTGAAGCAGTGGGACAAGCAAGGACAGGAGGGCAGCAGGTATAAGTTAAGTAGGAATTTGTGTTCCACTGTTATTTTAGTTGGGGCTCTTGCATTGAGCATGGTGGTGTACCCGGGACCGCTCCTGCTCAGCTCCACGGGGGCTTGTGATGTTAAGCCATTAATTAATTTGTCAGTGGAAATTAATACAGTGCCAATTGTAGGGGTTGGTATTGATGGTGCTGGGTAGTTTGGGTGGCGGAAGGAGATGGTGCTGTTATGGAGCCAGGGCTCCATGAACACAGACATCAGGCAGCGTAAGCACAGCACTGAAGCGCAGCTCCTGGCAGGTTGGGCTGGGAGGGCTCCTCTGCTCCCCCCCATGCTCATCACCCCATCTGTGCCACAGTGTGCTTCATTTCCCCTTTTCAGCTTAATTGGCAATTAGTTTATGATTGAGCTGTAAGTATTTAAGCCAATATCTGCACCAGCAGGGTAAGCTGATGCTGATACAGTCACAGCCTCCTGCACGCACACACGCGCTCGCTGCACCCAGCGTCATCGAGCCTTAATCCCCCCAGTGCCCCAGTTGTAACCGCGCTGGGATATCGGTCACCAGTGCAGCAGCCTCATGGGCTGGCAAGGAAACCCTCCATCCATCCCCCCCCAGTAAGTGCCTCCACCTCTTCTCTTTGCTTGCTAGCGTATGAGCGACCGCAGCGGGTTACCACCACAAAAACCACCACTGCAAAAACCACCACCACAACAGCGCCCACCACTACCACCACCTCAACAACAACCACCACCACCACCACCACCACCACCACCACCCTGCCTGCCACCACCACCCAGCCAGGTTGGTGCCACGCTCCCTGCCTCGCTCCAAGAGCCAGGACTTCACTGCTGGGCTCCTCTTTATAGCTGCTTCCCATCCCAGTGTCGGTGGCCCTGGCTATCTGCTCTGTAGGATGATAAAGGGACATGGATAAAAATCACCCTGGGCAGACCTGCGTTGCTGTTCTCTCCATTCGGTCCAAGGGCACTTTGACGTGTAACATGAGCTAGAAGCCTTTTGGTCCCCATAAGCAAGGAGCCAGCCACAACGGGTCCACCTCAAAGCCAACAACCGCACCATGGGTTGACATCCCCCCCCCCTCACTGGGTGATCTCACTCTGCTGTCACTCTGTTATCATCAAGGCAGCAAGAAGTGAAGCCAGGACTGGATGCGGGGGAAGCAACACTTTTCCCTTTTTTTTTTCTCAATTTTGTTTTTTTCTTTTCTAAAGAGAAAGGTTTTCAAAACCCATCCCTCCTCGAGCCACTTGGCACCGTTGTTCTGCACGGGGCTGGCACGGCTGCAGGAGATGCTCTCTTACAGCTCCAGCACTAGCATGGCAGGAAGACAATTAAGGCTTTACTGTCCCACTGTAAATTAAACCACATACCCCATCTTGCCTGGCTGGAAGGAGAGAGGAATCATACTCCATCCTGCTCTATCCCGACCTCCATTAACATTCCCCAGGCTGCTGTACAAGCATCCATGGAGCACACCGGGCTTGGAGCTCACACGCACACCACAAACACCCTTTCTAGCTACTAAAACCACCCTATGGAGGAAAACCTTTATCGTTTCTCGGGGGGCTCCTCCTTCCCTCCGCCCCTGACCAAGGGGACAACGTTTTCGCTTTGTCGTTTGGAACCGAGCAGAGAGGACTTAACAGCAGGACACTTTTTTAAGCTTCTCATGGGGGAATTAGACACACATTCCTCCCCTCGCCACGCTTTCTGGGCCTGATATTTCCCAGGAGGACGTTTTACACCCACAGTGTGTTAGTAACAGTCTGTCTGGGGGAGCTGCCAGAAGCCAGTCAAAGGGATGAGGAAACTTGGTTGCATGTTTATGCAAATATAGATATATTCGTGGAAGTACCCTGCTTGAGTAGCTCATCAGGAAGCACGGAGTTTAGCTCCAACTTCCTTGGAGATGGAGGGACCCTGGGCAAAAGAATGCAGGAGAAGCGCTCCTTACCCAGGACCTCATTGGTATCCACCAGCCCTGCCTAGAGCTCACATGGCCCCACTAGTAGCAGGGGATCACATCTGTGTCTGCACCATGCGCTTAGGAGCATTGATCTTTATCCATGCTCACCTGTAGCGATGCTTTTAGGTCTATTTCTTTTACAAGTGCTGTGTACGTGAGGGTGTGTGTTCAGTGTCTATACTGTTTATGACTTGCAGTGCTCTGCTTCAGCTGGGGCGGGCAGGATAGCGTCTGCGTGGGGTTGGGGGTGATGGGGATAGTCTCCCCTGCCAAATTTCTCCGAGGGTGATGTGATGTACCTTAGGTTTATTCCTTCTCCAAAACCTGATCTGAATGTGTTCAGAATGCTTCCATTAACTGATGGCAAGGGACAAAATAAATGAGTAAATCACAGCCCAGCCGCCAGATCTCTGGCTTGATAAGGCCAGGCCTGAGCTTTGAGCTCCTCGACCCCATCCAGAACCCCAGAATGCTGTGCCAGGGGATGGAGACAGTCCCTGGAGGTGCTGCTTCAAATAAGAAGGTAGGCAGGGCCACCCAGTGGTTCAGGGATCTGCTCATGGGCAGCATGCTGGGTTTGAGGCCAAAGGTCCATAGTATGCCTTTGATGAGCAAGAGGGAATCAATTCACAGCCTAATTCAGATCTGCTTTTGACCAGAGACATCCCTCCCCCTGCAAAATATAAACTAAATAATATAAAATAATATAAAATACAAATAGCATAAAATATAAATGCTTCTTTAAATACATGACATCCCCAAAGGGCTGTGAATCTAACTTGCCTGGACCTCAAGAGAAACACCTTGTTAAAGAGATGCCCCTTGGAGCTCTTGGTGAGGAGATGCAATAAAACCCAAGCTGGGTCAGAGTCCCAATGAGAGATATTCTGTTGTTATCTGCCTTAAGAATTCTAGAGCATTGCACAAATCCCTCCTTGCTTTAGGACAGCTCAACCTGCCAGCTTTGAAAGCCCTTTCAGAGCCCTGCCCCATCCTGCGCTGTTTCACCCTCTGATTTACACACTGTCTTCTGCCCCTGAATTTCTCCTTCCCACCGTAAGCAAGCATCCTCAGACCAGCCTCTGAGTTCGCTGTGCCCGTGAGAGAAACAGAGAAAAAACCAGGTATTTAAAGCCAAAGTGATGTGTTTTTCCCTTCTCCTTCATGCCTCCGCACGTTAGTGGGTAGCGGCAAGGCAGAAAGCAATGTAGCACGTAGGCTAGAGGAGTAGATTAGATTTGGGTTGTCTCTGGGGTGCATGGATCTGCTAGACATCTGCTTCCTTTGGCTGCTCGCGGTGTTTTCCGTGGTCAAGGTGGAGCTGTGGTCATGTTCGTAGGATGCTTTTGTGCCCGGTCGCCTGGCATGCGGTAAGAGGGGAGAGAAGAATGAGCTTATGGGCACGGTCTGTGGTCTGAAGGCAGTCAAGGCTGCCAGAATGGGTAGAAGGAAGGGAAAGTGCAGAGCTACCCTAAGGAGGATGCATTAAGTGCTATTCCCATTTGCCTTCTGCGATTCTGTTATTTTGAAATCTTCCTTGAAGCCTGTCAAATTCTTCCTTGCCATTTGTTACATTTCTCCCATGCTCAAAATAAGCAAAAAAAAAAACAAAAAAAAACTCTTTTTTTTTTTTATTTATTCGCTTCCATTTCCCCCCTTCTGGTTCGTTGGTTCGTAGCAGTTTCCTCAGAGCCAGTTCACCTCCAGACAAACAAACCCAACCTGCACCCTGCTTGGTGGACAGAAAGAGAGCACCAAAAGCCCTTGGCACAGCTGCTGCAGAAAGGGAGCCCTGTGTTTATGCTTTGAGAAGGGCTTTTTCTGGGTCCTTCCCCACCATCCCCGTGCTGTTTGCCCCAGTGGTTTGTGTTACAAAGCGTGATTTCTTGGTGCCATTTACTCTACTTCCCTAGAAACCCACCAGGACCACCAGTTTCCATCGGGGCTGATACAAGCCCCTGGGACAGGAGCTGCCTGGACTTTCCCATTAGCATGAGCTGGGTCTGAGGGTGAAACGTGTCTCTCCCCCTCCCAGCATGTAAAACTGTCCATGAATGTCCCAGAGCAACAAGGGAAAGGTTCTCAGGATAATGAGCATTAATAATTTCCCTGGCTCTGTAAACGCGATTGAGTGGAGGTGTATGTGAATGACTAAAAAGCAAAATGCCTCCAGGGCTGGTTTTTATTGTGACTCTAATTAAACCCTTGCCAATTTGCACGGGGCTTTTTTCATATTCTCTTTAACACCGTATTAATATCAATTGGTTTCCACTTTCCAGCTGAAAAGGACAATGTCTATCACCTTCTCCTAGGAAAAGGGATGATTTTTTAATGACAAGCTCTATTTTATTCTGCATTGTTTATCATCCCCTTGTTTGAGGCTGGGAAATCACATTTCTCTCCTAGTCGGGTTTGTCCTTTGAAACTTGGCAAGGATCAAGAGATGGGTTTTTTTTCTCTCCTCCTCCTTATGTTACCCAACTGGAGCCTCAAATTAATAATATGGCTTTTAAATTTTTTATTCCTTAGTCTGTTTTCTAGCAAACCTGGGGATTGTTACCAATACTGAGGAGAGGGGAGGGGTATGGGGCCGGGGGGGGGGGGAGGGTTTGCAGGGAAATCAAACCAGTGATCTATAGATTCCTTGATGGCTTAACTGCAAATTCTTTAAGTGGTATTTCTAAGGGACAAGCAGAGCTTGAAGGGGAGCCTGGAAGTTTGGGTTAGGAACCAGGACTTTGTGCCTCCATCCATAGACACACATGCTATTCCTCAGTTCCATGATTTCAAAGCAGAGGGGTGCAGATCTGTGGATGAGGTCCTTAAGCAAAGATGAGCAGAGCACCCTGTGTTCAGGTGGGCTGAGATCGGGCAGCTCATCCCTGCCCATGGCAGGGGATTGGAACTGGATGATCTTAAGGTCCTTTCCAACCCAAACCATTCCGTGACTCTATGATCACACCACTGCCATCCTGCTCTGTGCATCAGGGCAGGTCACCAGCTGGTTACCAGCTCCCCCAGCACACCCAATAACACTGCTTTCCCTTTGATCCCTACAAGACTACACCAGCTTGTCAGAGGCTGCCCCCCTGCAAGTGAGCTCTCCCCTAGCCAAGGATGGCCCCGGAGCAGAAGGTAGGAGATACGTGGCTGAGCTGGGTCCTGCCAGCGAGTACCAGCTCCCAGTGCTCAGCAAATGCTTTAGTTTCTAGATCCATGTCTCTGTTTTCCATGCATCTCTCTCCTCCTCTCACCTGGGAAAAAGCTCAGGTCTTTGTCTGTGCCCTACACGCAGCTGGGAATCTGGTGAGGCTGGATTGAGCCTCGGGGTTTAGTCATATACATGAAAGATGAGGATGGTAAGTGGTAGAGGAGATTGTTCACAGCTTGCTGCTGGGGTGAACGGAGAGGATCATGGAAATCCTGTTGTCTCCCGAGACCGGAGTCTGTTTGTAGAGCAGAATAACTTTGTAAATAGATAGGCCTGTGTTGTTCATAGCAGAGATGCCTTCTTGTGTATTTCCTCGCTCCAGGTCTCCTGTGTGACTGCCTAAGGTGAGATGCTCCTGGTGGGAGCCCTGGGAGGCTTCACGCTGGCTGTTCAGGCTGCAGCTTCTCCTCCTCAGCACTCCCACCAGCACGCATGCTTCGGCAGTTGCCTGTTGGTGCTCAGCTCTCATTTCCCATGTGAGATGCCTGTAGCTCGCTCCAGCTGCACACATTAGCATCCCTTCCAGTGCAGAGCACAGTAACTGTTGAAGCTTGGTCCAGGACACAGCCCAGTGCTTGGAAATACTCAACTGGGGAGGCTGGAAGTGCTGAAATTGAGGTTCTTTGGAATTGTTGTCATTTTGGGTCTGCCTGTGGTCTCACAAACCATATTCGCCTACACAATGGGCATCAATGCCAAGTGATGCTGACAATCTGTGCTGAAAAAGGAGGGTTTCTGAGCCTTGACAGTGGTCTGCAGATGTGCTTCTCTGCACGCTAGGGCAATGTGATGACCACATGCCAACACTCAGCCATCCAGCAGCTCCTGCACTCTCCCCTTAGGAGTGCTTTTTGTCTCTCCTCACACTTGAGGACTCTAATTTCCAGGAGACGTTGTCTCCCATTCCTGCTTCAACCCGTCTGCAATAAGATACAACTCCACCAACCCACCCTGCCTAGAGCTTCCAGCGTCCCTTTGCCACCTTTTTAAGGAAACAGGAGGAGGATGTGTATTAAATCCGATGTTCTCTCTAACTGATGCCACTGTAAGCTGTTCAGCTCCCACCAAACACAGCAGCACGTGGACCGAAGCCACCAGACCCTCCCAAGAACATGCAAGGTAAGGTCATGCCTGTCCAAGGCTAGAGATGCCACACTGGTGGAGGAGGGTCTGGACACTGTGCCAGCCCACCATGGGGTCAGGGGAAGCAATGGGGATCCAAGGAGGCCCCCGTGTCACAGCAGCCTCACAAATGGCATCAGAGGGAGGATCCCTGTGGGATCCCAGCATGGCTCAACCTTGCTCTTTATGGGGGTTACCAAGCACCGAACCCCATCAGCTTGAGTTGCAGGTGATGGCCTTTACCCCCAGCACCCCAATCGTTCAGTGTGGGAGGGGGTCTGGCTGGCAGCACAGCCCCAAGGAAGCTCCATCCTGGTCAGAGCAGCCCCTTATCCAGAGGAAACATCCCAGCCCAGCCATGCTGGGCTCACCCTGGGAGCCCTGACCCCACCACGGCACTCAGATGTGTTTCATTGTTCGGTGTAGCAGCTCCGAAGAGCAAAGCAGGGCGCACAGCACACTCTGCAGGCAAGAGGCACGGCAAGAAGCCAGGTACGTGAGCAGCGCCTGCTCTGCAGGACCCTACAGCAAGCCCTGCCCGATATCACCTCCATAGCCCTTGCTCCCTTAGCAGCTTCTTGGTGCTAGTTGGTGTGACCTCCATCAAACCAATGCCGTGACCAGTAGATGTGTTTTAAGCTGTTCAGACCTGTAGATCCTTATCCTGAACAACCCAATTCCCACCACTGAACGTGCATGAAGGGGGGACGAGCGAGTAGCTCCTTCTGGCTCCGCACATTGCGATAGCGCTGTGCAGCGAGTTTTTCATGCATCCAACTTTAAGAAGGGGAGAAAAGAAGGAGAAATTCAGCAGCTACAGCTGTCTGGTGCAGAAATAGCTGCCAGTGCTGCCAGAGCAGCGGTCTTGGCTCGGGTCAGCATTGTTCCCGTAGCAGAGCTGCTCGCGGTAGGGTAGGACGCGGAGCGGTGCTAAGCAGTGAGAAAACATGTGTCTGATTTCCCTTAAGCATCCTCAAAGAGCTCAAAACTCATCCGGCTCAAACCAGACTCTGGCCCAGTGGCTCCTATTGAAACGTATAAAGGTAAGAGGAGGGAGCGGTGCTCCAGGGCTCTCAGTCTTTGCCCAAGTGATGTGGTCCAGCAGCATCAGACATGGAGAAGATGGGGAGGGTTTGCATATCCAAGCTGTGGTTAGCTGTATGCAGGAGTGCATCCCTAGGGTGAAACAATGCTTGGGAATTGCAGCAGCCAGAAGTATCCAAGCTGAAATCCTTTAGATAGTGGTTGAAGAGGCAGAAGCTCTTTCACAGAAGATCAAGATTACAACAGAATCTCAGCTCCTCCTCAGGCAGTTATGAACCACGGGGAAACCTCTGCCCTGCTCCATCTTCCCTGGCCACCATTTCATTAAGACAAGTCTCCTCCTGCAGTTGCATGTGCATGCCAACCCATACCGTTCCCTCCCATCCCTTCATCACTGGTTAATGTCAGAGCCTGGAACAAAACCCCAGCTCCGAGCCTCCTCTCCAAAGGCTGGGGAAGCTCAGACCTGGCTCACACTGTTTCTGCTCACGTTATCACTGCCTGTGCTGGCTGGGACACCTCCTGACCAGGACAGCAGGGCCACAAGGCAGCCAGGGTACCTCCTCTCCTTGTGTTATAAACTCCCAGCACCCAAACACTGCAAGGCAATCACCACCCCAAGTCATGGTAATGAAAGCAAACAAGAAGAAGCAAATAATCACGTTCCTCTGGCTATAAATTAAACCTGGCTGGTAGTTTCCTAGCATGTGCCCATGGCTGAGAGAGGTCAGCCCTGGGGACAGGAACAGTGCTTGGACAAGCGATGGTGGCATCTCCCATCCCACCAGCAGCCTTTGCAGGCATCCCTGTGCTGTGCCAGGCAGCCCTGGTTCAAACCTTCATGCACTTGTCCACTGTTTCAAGGGACCCCACGCAAGCCACGCTTCCTTGAATAGAGTCATTTTAAGCACTTAACCTGAGAGTCACCACGCTTCACACCCAGCATTGTTTTGGAGGTACAACAGAAGGGACAGAGGGGAAAAAGCCAGGAGGCAGTGAGGTTTTACCTGGACATCAGCAGCTCCAGCTCCACTTCAGCCTTGTCCAGGCCCTTCCCATCCCTGGAGGCAGCGTTGCTGCACCCTCTGCCAGCCCCATCCATGGACCAGTCCCCTCCTTGCCACAGGGAGGCAGAGCACAGCCTTCGCTGGGGCTCTGCCCCCCCATCCCAGCTCCCCCACAGCTCCTGCGGCTCCACCAGAGCCAATCCCAAGCACCAAGCTGAGCTCTGCTCATTAACAAGGCAGCTCTTTAATTAACACCTGATCCACTTCCAATGCCTGCTGCCATCATTGTGCCTTTCCTTAAAGAGATCATGTCCTGGGACAGGCAGGGGCTGGCTCCTGCCTGTCCTCACCCCAAGGGGACAGATCCCCCCTCTCTGAGCAGTGTCTTCCACCCCAATCCCCCCATGGCAGCCCCTGCGTGCACCCATCCTGCCCAGCCCTGTGTCAGCAGCGGTCGGGGCTCCTTTCCTCCACCCAGCGTAAGGAAGGATGCTCCCAGCCCATCTCCCCAGCTCTCTCCTGCTCTCCGCAGACTGCGAGTGCTACGGGCACTCCAACCGCTGCAGCTACATCGACTTCCTGAACGTGGTGACCTGCGTGAGCTGCAAGCACAACACGAGGGGCCAGCACTGCCAGCACTGCCGCCTCGGCTTCTACCGCAACAGCTCGGCGGAGCTGGATGACGAGAATGTATGCATAGGTGAGCGCTGCGGTGGCCTCAGGCAGCACCGGGACGTGGGATGGCTCTCGTAGAACCTTCTTCTATGGGGTGGGCTTCAGTTCAGCCCCTCTCTGGAAAGAGGGGGGACCTGCATGCCCCCAGTCGTTACAGTCTCTGCAGCCTGCCAAGGCATCTCTCTGCTGGAAACAAAGCCCAAATACTGTCTTTCCAACCTGATTCAGACGCATTGCTCTACCAGAAGGTGCTCAGCTCCAAAGAGGGGTGGTCTTGCACTCATGGCTGCTTGCACTCATGCAGCCACGCTCTCCCAGCCCCTTGGTCTCTAAGGTCCCTCCCGTAGCACGTAGCCAGGCTTTTCCCAAGTCACAGCATCTCCCTTGGGGCAATAACAGGGACAAGGCCCTCAGGCAAGGCAGGCACTGACAGCCCTGTCTTTGGGCAGAATGTAACTGCAACCAGATCGGCTCCATGCACGACCGCTGCAATGAGACCGGCTACTGTGAATGCAAGGAAGGTGCCACGGGGCCCAAGTGTGACGACTGCCTGCCCAACTACTACTGGAGACAGGGCTGCTTCCGTAAGTACCTGAGGCACAGTGGTGGGGTGGGGGTGAGATGGGTCCAAACCAGAGAGGGATCCTCAGCACTGCCTGCTCGGGTCCCCCGTGATGCTCAGAGTGAGCAGATTCCAGCCATTTCTCCCAAATCTGAAAATGACTTGATAGCTTTGCTCCTGGAGTTTGCAATCCCCACTGTGTTCCTCTGGCCTTGGGACTGCTCTAAGGGGTTGAATAATTCAACCCCTAGGAGCTAAAGAAGAAAGCCAAAAGCTTCTAATTTGTGCTGCAGCCAAAGGGTTTAAGATAGCCCGGATTACCACTCAAATCCTTTCCTCCCTCTCACTTTATAGCCAACGTCTGTGATGACGAGCTCCTGCTCTGCCAGAACGGCGGCACATGCTACCAGAACCAGCGCTGCATCTGCCCTGTGGGCTTCAAGGGGGTCCTGTGCCAGCAATCCAGGTGTGAAGCCGACAAGGACTGCGATGGTGCCTCCAGCGTGCGCAGCAGCCTCGGCGCCGTCCTCCTCGGGGTGCTCGCCCTCCAGCTGCACGGGTGGGGGGACCTCTGAACCTGCAGAGGAAGGAGCTCAGCCCAGGCACATCACCCGAGGGGCCGGGGGAGACCAAGGTACCCGGTGGCTCTCCCCACCGTCTCCTCCGCCTTCCTTCACGCTAGGACTTGCACAACGTCTTTCAGTCCACTTCCCGAGCAGAGGGGTGCACGGAACACGAGGGGCTGACTCCTGCCCATGAACCCATCCTGGCAGCAGCCGGGGTGGCCGCAGCATGGAGCCGGCTGCCGAGCAGCAGCACGGGAACTGCACCAGCCTGTGCCGGGCCATGGTCCAGCAGCCCAGCGGGGACATAGACCCATCCTTCCCTCTGCACAGTGACTCTCCTTCCCTGCTCCACACAGGGCCGGGGCCACGGGGCCCTGGTGAAATAGTGCCGCGATCCAAGGGGTGTTTTTTTTATTATTACTTTCTTTACTTTGGTATAGGCTGGGGTGTTCTTTTTATTTTAACTCTTCTTAGTGTCCTGTATTGAAGGAGCCTGTCATGTCAACTCAATTCCAGAGACCCATAACACAACAGGCAGGGGAAAGGGGAGGGAGGGAAGTGGGGGGACTCTGGTCAATCATTGCTGCATAGTCCCACGTCCCACCACGTACCGTTGCCTACAACTCTAGTTGCTGCATTGATTTCTGTATTTTCATTGCTGGGTTTTGTTTTCTTGCACTTAACAGAGAAGGCAGGGCCATCAGGCACATGCTACATGAGGAGTGCAGTGTCTTATCCACACACATCCCTATGGTGTACGGTTCGAATACGTTTTTGGGTAGAGACTTATTTTTTGTTTGGATTAAATGTTATACAAGAACCACAACTTAAAGGGACATTTTGCCATGAGCATTTGATTCTGGTGTATCCTCCTCCAGTAAAGCAACTATTAATGGCTGCTTGATCACTTTTCTTCTTGTGTGCACAGTTAATTACAGGTAAAGACTTATTTTTTGATTCATAATGTCCTCTTGTGTTTTCTAAGTTATTACCATGGTGCACCACATGGGGAGGGAGAGGTATCCTCATTACTGAGCGCTGTTAATTATTTCTCCTAATTACTTTGCTGAACCTAGGTTAGACTACTAACTGTAGACAATGAACAGAGCCCAAGTGATGTATTAAGCACTGCTCTAGTGTGGAAGGGCCATTTCCAATGAGCCTGCAAGCAGAAGAAGGCTGGGCAGTCCAAGGATGCTTCTCCAGGGGGACCTCCGCTGTCCAACCCCACTGCAGCCCCCCCAGAGCTGCTGCCATGATGTAGCTTTGCAGAATGAGCTGCTTGAGTATTCTTAAGTGTGGGGCACATTTTGAGCAGCGTTTAACGACACAGGTCACAGGGCTTAGTTAACCCACCCTAAAATTAATGGGGGTTAAACTCACCCTTCTGAGATCTGATCTCCGAGAGTGGGCTGGTACAAGCATTATCTCCCTTTCTTTAATGCAGTCGGTTGCTGTCTGTTGGTATTGACGCTCGCTCTTTGTCCTTTCTGACTGCAATAGATTTTAAATCCTCATATGTTACTGTTCGTACAAGTAATAGCATTGAAAAGACTGTAACAAGATCAAGATCTCTAATGGCACTTCTGGAAGGTGAAGCAACGTTCTCCTTTCCCTGTACTAGTGTTTTTCTCTAGAATATTAGACTGAGCAACAGAAAATTTACTACTTCATAAAGCTGTGCCCCAGACAAACTCTGCACCCAGCAGACTCCCTGCTAACACACTTTTATTGCGATGCAAGCAGGAACGTGCCAAGCAGCCACACTGAATTCCTATAGAGAATAATCTCAGAAGGGTAAAACAAAGCTCAGAACTACCCAGGTATGAAAATGCTGAAGGTAGTAGACCACTGCACTGGACCTTCTTGGTTTGGTGGGTTTTCTCTTGGTTGACTGGGCGCTGGTTGGTTGGTTTGGGGGCTTTGTTCATCTGTTTTTAACATAAAACATCACTGGCTTTCCAACTCAGCTAGAGATTGGACCAACTCCCTGTGAAGACAGAATACCCATCAGGTTCATTCCTGGACCTTCTTTAAAGTCACCTTTGAGCCTTCCTAGTTGTGCAAAGCCCCTGTGTAATAGTAACTGCAAATGACAAACATGACACGCTTCATCTCGTGCAAGAGATGGAATCCTTTAGGCTGTGAGCAAGGGCAGGGCTCAAAGAGAGTTTCAGACTTTCCCCCTGTGGCTCTGCCTGCAAACAGAGCACTACAGCTCATCTTTAGGCTCAGCACAAAGCTAATCCTGTGTGTTGGTGAGGAGAGAATGGCGTTTTACCTGTCCAGCAATGCTACAGAACTTGCAACCCCACAACACAAACCACTGCAAGACAGAAAAACAAACCCTCAAAAACTTACCCTTGGTATTTAAGAAAATAATATAAAACTACTGAAAGCTTCAGCACTGAAGAGCCATTAACCTCAGACTTCCATCAGCACACAGCTGCCTCCACAAAGAGCATCATTGAAATAACATAGAGAGAAACCATCACAGCAAGTACCCACAAACCCAAAAGCTCATCTTCCTTAAGAGAGAGACATTTGTACATCGGTTAATGCATCCAAATGGGAGAAGTTGTCCAATGAGCTTGGTACTTTACTTGTGGAAAGGTTAACCAAAAGGTACTTCTTTATCTGAAAAAAAGCCACTCGTGCTCATTCAAGAGGTTTTCAGAGGTATCCTGCCACTGGCATTTGATTCAAGAAAGTTTCTAAACAATACTTGTCTGCAAAAAAGTGACCTCATCAAACAGTGCAAGTAGAGCTTCTGTTTTCCCTTGTTTACCTCAAAGTCTGCTCTGGTTTTAACTATTTATAGTAATCACTAAATAACCAAAAGCCCCAAAGCAACACAAATCTACCTGACGTGACAGACCACTACGGCCAGGCTGAGTCCACAGCCCCAGCCACAGGGGTCAACAGCAGCCTGGTTTTATCCATCACCAGACAAAACATCAAGCTGATAGTCCCTGGTGCTGGAGACAGAAGGAGGGGGTAAAAATTCCCTTGGCACTTACCAGGTATGTTATTTGGTATTTTAAAGATGAGGAAGCAGAAATCTCATCTACAGAAGTGATTCATAAGAAGCCTTGTGAGGGCTAGAGTAGTGAGAGAACCAACACTTTAGTGGTAATAAAATTAATGGTCTCGCCACTCAACTCTGTTCTACAATTGGCTTTCATGGAAAGTCCCAAATGTAAATAAAACAAAGCTCCCTGAAAAGGAGCTGAGCATTCTTGCTCAGAAATAACAGCAGAGCTGGTGTTTGAAAAGCTTTGTATTGCTATCTCAGCCCTTCCACCAGGGAGTCAGAGAGTTTGGCCGCTATCGCATAGAAACTGGCTAAAAATCACACTGATTTGGGATGCAGAGAAGAGCTTCAGCGTGTCCTAAAGGCCCCTTTACCATTTTGATTCTCCAGGTGTCATAACAAGTTTCACTGCAGGGTGAAACGTGGGAGGAAAGCCTAAAACCACCCATTTTTATCACATAACCACCTTCTCTCCTGGCCAGCAATAATACTGGCTTCCAAACGCTCCATCCCAACCACACTCTGCTATTTCAGAGATTAAAATAGAGAAACCGATGGGATTTCTTTGTAGCAAAGGGATTTCTTGCTTGATGCCACAGTGAAATCAGTGACAGAACTGGACAGCCACACCAGTGTAGGCTGTCAAGCTACAAAACAAGGTTTTCTACATCTTTACAATACCAAATGTAACATGCACTGAAATCACCTTCATTTTCATTTCTAGCACTGGGAGGTGGTGGCAAATTAGTCAAGGCCTTAGAAGACAGATACACATAGCTGGAAGGTCTCATGTGTCAGCGATATTTGATGTACGAGGCTGCTTAGCTTACATTTATTTGCACTAAAGAGTAAGGCAGTGGGCTCCTTTCCAAACATCTTAAAAAGAGGAGACCTTATATATGGCTTGGGAATGGATCCGTTGTGGCAAGAGACTGCATTGTATCATTAACATTATAAATTCCATTTACAATACAGCAGCCATTTCATCCATCATTTATTCATGCAGACCAGAGAGAATGTCTGGCATTTTTAGGACCATGGTTCTGCTTATTCTTGGTATTGCTACAGTTGCTGGGCTGTGAATGAACAGCTCAGCTCCAGCTATTGGCTGCTCAGGTCTCCCTCTTCTGCATGAAAAGTAAACCCCAGCATCTCACCACACCTCAGTAACTGCATAAATCCCAAGTCTCACCTCTGACATTACCAGGGTTCCATGTTACATGGGAACAGTTTACCCTCAATCAGTACATTTGGTCACTACAAGTCTTTTGTCACTCCAGAAGCATGTGCTGCTCCGTATTTCCCTTGCATCAGTACTGCAGGAGCTACTTCCACTTTATGGACTGGCATGAGGAAGGGGCGAAAAGCCTTGCCAGTCTGCACATCTTGTACCACCTAGACTCCCAGCTCCTGTTAGACCCCCATTAGCTGCTCATTAATTACAGCACTCACCTCATCTAGGAGGCAGTACTGCAAAAACTCAGTGCCCCACTGGAAGTCTGAATGTAGATGAGACTGGAAGTAGAGGGTGAGTGTGGCACAGCTCTTGTGATTACCCATAACCTAGATGGCCCCACGAGCTCAGCACACCTCAGCCCATCCAGATGGATGGCTGCATAAAAACCTGAACACAGCTTCTTCCAAAGTTCTGTGGCAGAACCTCCAATTAAACTCTTTTGCCTAAAGTTGAGTGTTTCACTGATTCTTCACTTTAACACTCAGCAGAACAGAACAATCACGGAACAACCTCCTCCGGCTGTCACTGGTTCCAAGATGACACTAAATGAATAAAGCAAGTCTGCATTCACAGCTTACCAACACTGACTGCCTGTCACTACTCAGCACCTTGTTGCATGGAATGTAAACAGCAGAGAAGTTATGAAAATGGTACCTAAATTGTTTGTTCCCTAATGCAGGTTTTATTTGAAGCAACAAGAAGCAAGCTTTGGATTGGAGTTAGCTTGGTTTTCCATGTTATGGGTATAAGAGAGAAGGGAAGGGAAAGTTAATTAAAACTACAAACATACTCTGAGTGATATGGGAAATATGTTCTAAGAGCAATTAAAGAATACACCATTAATGATACAGTAGCAATAAGCTACCACTGACAGAATAACTTAGGTCAGATAAATCCAGTATTAAATAACCAAAGTCCGAGCCGCTGACCATGCCTCAGAGATGATTTATGGAAAAACATAGGCATTACAGAGGACATGGCCTATTGCAGTGTACAAAACACAACAGAATTCAAATGGTAAAACAAAACTTCTTCCAGCATTGCAAGCACAGCGCTCAGAAGACCATGTTCTGAAATGCAGACTGAGGAAGAAAACTAGAAGAAAAGCTAGAGAGAAACAGTCTTTTGACAAAATTGCACTTAATGACCAGAAAAGCATTTCCTCATTCACACTGTTGCCAGCTTCACTTTATTTACATCGAGACAGTCTAAATGGCTGTCTTACACCCAACAGAGCCACGAGGTTTCAAAGATCATAGAAAAGATCTAGAATATGACCATTTTTAAATATTCCTATGAACATAAAAGGAGGTAACACATTGGGCATGGATTCTGGGATGCGGGGGTGACCAAGATGTCCAGTTCACAATAGTCTGATTCATTCCAGCAGCCTTCCTGCTTGCACAAGGTACACAACATCAAGCCAGAGTCACAGCAGTTTTAGAAGAGCATGCACTGCTGACAAGAGGTGGTCAGGGTTCACCAAAGCAATTAAGATTGCAACAGAATGAACAACTAAAGCTAAAGAATGCACATATACCCATTTCACTTCATATGCATCTCAAAGATTCTCCCCTGGTATCTTAAAATGCTCTGTACCATGGAGCACAATGAGCTGGACAGCCACAGACAGCAACTAAATGCCTCTCAACACACCTACAATACATGCTACCAGTAAAGCACGTTTGTTCTGGGCTTGGATGCATTAAGCTTTACTGGCAGCTACAGTCTGAATTGATGTTTTGTACAGTAAGGCACCGGTATTTCACTGGACTGGCTTGCATGTACCTCTCAGGCAGTGGTTTAAAGGACAAAGCTAATACTAATCACTCCAATGAAAGTGTCAGGACAGAAAACATAACTAAAGATGATGGCTAAATCCTGGCTAGAGCAATCTGGCAGCTCAGAAAGCCACTGCTGGGATGTTGGCTAAGTGTAAGTCAACTGTGGGGGGACAGAAGGATCGTGCCTGCCTCAGAGCAGGCTGTACTTCAGCACAGATACATGGAGACAGCAACCCGGCCCACTCGCAGTACACCCAGCTTGTGCTAACACAGCGTGGAGCTGCATTCCCAGGCAGAAGCATGCTAAGGTACCACCATGCAAAACTGTGCACATAAAATGCTGCTCTTCACCTCCTTCACACACATTCTCCAGCTGAAGTGATAATTCCGTCACCCCAAAGCATTATTAGCATAAGTAATTCCACTTTTATTGTGAAATGTTATGATGAGAGGAAGGCTTTCTTAAAAATCAAGTTAGTTTTCCTGCACCACCCCATTTTACTGGTTATATATTCTTCATCAACACGGTGGAATGAACCCAGTAATAACACCCAGAATTAACTGCTTACCCGTTTTAGCCCTCTAGATCTCCAAAATCTCTGTATAAAGAAAACTCAAGTGTCATTACCAAGAAGTGATACCTAGGTCTTTGACTAAGGTTCCACAGTGCTGTTGATTATTCCTCACATGGACTCACTGGGACCAAACAGACCTCATAGGCTTTAATCTGCAGTTTGTGTTGCCTCTGCAATAAGAAAAGAATTATAACTGATGAAGCAGCAGCAAGAGCAAAACTCAAGGCACGTGTGTATATATGGAAGCTCTTCTGTTCTTATAAAAACAGGCCATAAAATATACAAAATAAGTAGAATTCTCTCCATTCAACCAATATACATCTGCCTTCAGTGTTTCCAGAGGCACTAGTGGAGCACGAGGAAGAATCGCTGCTACCACATTATCAGCATTCACTCTGCCATCAAATAAATTAGACTCATTAGTGGAAAGGGGAAACAAAGTATGGCTATTTTCTGGACTTGGGGGTATTTTTGTTTTTTCTTTCTTTTCTTCTGCTTTGCTCTGGTTCTTCATAAAAAAATACCTAAGAAATTAGCATTTGCACAAGGAAACAAGAAGCTACATATTTGCCAAATTAAATCTTAAAATAATTTTGTAGACTGTACAAATATACATCATTAAACATTTACAACCTTAACTTCCTAGACGACTGCTCTTCCAAGCAATGCAGCTATCCAGCTTTTCTTTACAAAAGCTCAAATCTATCAGCTGTCAGGTATAAAGTCCCCTTCACAATTAGAGAAGGTATGGGAAAGAGATGAACCTACTGATAGCAGTGGTATCAATACAAGGGAGTTCCAAGTGTACTAAATAATTTAAAATACAGCCCTTGCTAGAGAGAAACCTGGGAATAGATTTTCAGTAATGAGCCAATACTCAAGTCAGTGAAATGTCTTTCTTCGCTTGGCACTGTTTGATTCTGTGTTCACAGGTGACTCTTCTGATGTTCTTGTTAATGCACAATAGTCTTTGTTCTGTTTATTGATGCAACTTTCACCTCCTTCACTGTGGGATTTTGAACCACTTTTCAATGGAGGACCTCTCTGGTCACCCTCATGCCGAGCCGTGGAAGGCAAATCACACTGTCCCGATGTTTGTTGGGGCTTCTTGAAAGCTTCTGTCCTGGAAGTCTGATCCCTGGCAGCTGAGGACGCATCGAAGCCTTGCTGTGATGTTGATCCTGGATTGCTCTGGTCTGGCTGACTGCTGTCTTTTGAGGCCTGCTCCTTCCCTTTGGCTTCAGTTCTACTAGCCATACTTGCCAGCCTCGGGTCCCGTGGTTTCTCCTGATCAGCAGGAAGCACTGCTGCCACCATTCGTGCAGGGGCACTGACTCTCCTGGAGTCCACAGTCTGAGCACACTGTGGCTGCTGGGGCCCTCCACTTCCCTGTGGCACTGCACAACCAGTGCCAGCAGTGAGCTCCTGAGGGCTGCTGGCCTCCTTTGGATTTGCAAGTGGCTTCTTGCCACTGGAAGACGACTGCATTGGAGAAGGTTGCTTTGCTCCTGCACTGGCTGGGGGCTGTACTGGTGGCTTGAGCTTCAAGATCTTACCAGCATCTTTCCTGTAGCTTTTTTCTGATGTCTTGATAATGGCACCTCTTCTCTGAGCATCCTGAATCAACTCATTCCAGTCTTTGTTTTCCTTTCAGAAAAGGACAAAAGGACACACCCCAGAAAGAAAGGTTATTGGAAAGAAATCCACACAAATGGACAGAGGATATACAACTCCTTTAATTAAGGTACCTGACACAACTGTCATGGAAACCACTGTTATGTTCCTTCTGGAATGGAAGGATCTTATGTTTCACTTGCAAACCAGCAACAGGCACTCTGGCTGCTGTAACATAGGGGTGGTACTTTCAGCCATCAGTGAGCTACCACTTCAAATGACAATTTCGGTATTTATGAAGGCCAGAAGTTTTCTTGCACAGAGAGTGAAACAGGAACAAGGCTTTAATGCCCTCTTGTGGTGCAGCTATCAAACCCCACCCTTGGAAAAAAATCAAGATCCAGTACTGTAAGACATCAAGCCTCTTCAAGAGCACCCCCTATACATTCATTGGGCCTTTGCAGTCCCCCCCAGATACATAGTTCTGTTTAAGAAATACCTGTTTCAAAGAGTACAAGCAAAGCCTATACTTAGAAATCACGTGACTACATAAAGTAGTATCAAACCCAATAATCTGAAGATCATGGGAATGTTTGGGGGTGGTCTGGCTTTTTAACATCATTTTTTTTGCTCAAGTATCCAGTGACAAATACAATAGCTGGAGGCACGGGAAGGATCGAGCAAGGAAACATTTCTGCCATCACCCTATCTTACCAACAGAGAGAAGATTTTTCACAACCCCCACACTTGAATTGTAAAGCACTGTGTTACAATTTAGTTACTAAAAATATTGTGAGAGTAATTTCTAAATTTCCTTCTTGGAAGCAAGGAAAAGAGATTTTTAATTGTTTTGGTTTTTTAAAGAGCTTTGGCAGCTGGCAGTTACAGCCAAAGCTTTCGAAGAGAACCTTTCAGAGGCCTCGGTTGTACTGATTTATCAAAACACCACAGAAGGGTCCCCTTTCATAGACTGCAGCAGTCTAAGGATGGTTTTCACTTTCCCAACCCTGACTTGGCCTAAGAGGGTGGATCACGGAAGATCATTTGATTAACACTGTACCTACCATGAGAGTTTTCAGTCTTCCAAGGATAAAGAGGCTGAATCTGGCTCGGGTAATGGTAACGTTCAGACGCTGGAGACTTGCCAGAAACCTAGGTGACAAGACAAAGCTTAGCTCCTAAACTACTCTTCCACAAGGTTTAAGTGTTAAAACAAAAAGTGGTAATACTCAATTTCAGTGAAATGGAGATAACAGAAGCAGTTATAAAGGCAGCAGTAGTTCATGACCCACTCCCAGATCCCACTGAAACAGCCCTGCCTTACATGAAGGGCTTTGCATTAATCGTGGTTTCTTTCTTTCACCACTCTGACTCCTTGCAGGGAATTCCAGTTCTTTCCAGTTCTTGCCGTTGATGTTTCCTTTCTTAGAGTAAATCCCCGCTTAATGCCAACCACTGCTTCCTTAAGTGCTCCTCAAAGTACAGAGGACATCAACCTCACTTCACCTATGAAGACTTTAAGCCTCTTTTTGACTTGAACTGAAATGGATTAATAATATTTGGCATGATTAATGGGAAAATATTCTACTGAAATACTGAATACTGGACACGAGTATTCTACTTTAAAGGTGACCTGCACTGGTAGCACATGAAAAAAAGACTTTTGCTTTGTCATGCTTCAAGAGTGAAATGTATATTCTTACAGAAGAAAGCCAGCATTTGCACTATGGAAATTGTCTAGTCTGGTTATGCGATATCACAAACCAAGGTACTGAAACCTAAACAAATGCTTAAATGTTGATTTCTATTAAGAGTTTATTTACCAACACTCAAAAAAAAGGTTTGTGAAAGTAATATAAATTATTTCTTCACTAATGAAAAAGCTCAAAAAATGCCCAGCTTATTCTATACTAACAAAGTTTGCAAAACAAAGCCAAGTCCTTGTAAAATTTCGCTTGAGCAGGTTCAACATCAACACCTGATACTGTGGTCACAGTGCTGAGACCTGCTCTTCAGCAAATTCCAAACTGCACAAGTCCCAGCACCGCCCCAGGAAATTTGGGCAGTGCAGAAAACGAGACAGGCAGGAAGCAGACATGGGGAATAGATCCAGCACTACAGATATTATAGTTCTTTAGGACTTAAGGAGAGCATCTTGAAAGACTACTAAATATTCCTAACAGCTTTTAAAACTGAGAAGCAACAAAACTACTTTCTCAGGGGTAGACAGGGGGAAACAACAAACCAAACCGAAAACATTATCTTTCCTTGGAGTTTTCTCCACCATTTGAAAGTTACTTTCAGAGTACATTTAATGCTGGATTAGCTACCTTGAAGAATACTTTGCTCAGCTACAAGATCATAAGGGTGCTGCAAACTTTCCCATCACACCTTGCCAATGACACCTGCCCCTGAAGCAGATGTCCAACTCATCAGCATGTACTGCTTCTACAGCATTGCACTGCCAAAGCTTCACCACAGTAAGCTGGAAAGTTCTCTTCCAAAAGAACAGACAGAGCTTAAGTCCCATGTCAGCCAAAAGAACTGTCAGGTTCTAGCTGTCTTCAGTTTCCAAACTCAATCAACCAGATTAAGAGATGTCCAAAAATCATCACTGTTGTTTTCTAGAAGATTTGGATTCTTTCTCTTCCCAAAGTAACGTTCAGCACAGTTAAAAGTCCTTTATCTAGCAATTAGAAAATCAGTATCAGTAAGTATGCAGAAACAAAGACTTTTGTTTATGCAGACTTCCCGCAGTTTAACTTCAAAGCCAACTTAAGGCAACATAATTCTATTACCGTTTTTTAAACCAAGATGACCCGTAAGTCACAGAAAGTTGATGACCCATAAGTTAGTTCCTTCTGTCTCAAACAGGAAACACCCATGTAAAATTACCAAACCTGCTATCTTGAATCGAGACTTCCTGCAAATCTCGTCACAACTCAGAAGACAAGCATATCCATCTAGAAGTCAAAGATCTAGCTCGTCTGCATCACACTCCTAGTGACATATGTAACTAGTTAACAGTACTTCTACAGAGAGAATGTAATATTAATAGGATAATGAGTTGCAGAAATTGGATTTCATTTAGAGAGAGCAGCATTCAGAAAGTTACAACATAGATCAAAAGCTGTAAGAAAAATAACTGCTGCAGTACTAATGCAAAGAGGCAAGTTCCCAAGACCAATCGTGCCAAACCAAAACTGTGACAGGCTAAGGGAGGACACAAATTCATCAGCACGCAACACAGAACACAATACTTACCATTTCCATGTCCCTTTTGGTCAGAGATTTCAAACCAGTAACATTAATTCATGCATTAAGATACCCTTCAATTTGCTGGCTGTAGTGACTTGCTCTGGTCTTACATAACTGCCTTACTGTCATATCAAAAAATATGACTCTATCTAGTGTCACTGGAAAGGGGACTTGCAAATCACAGAAGACAAACATACCCAATTGACCCTTTCGTGCTGTTTGCCCGGACACATGTCACTATGATGCAATCTTTCTCTCGTCCCTGGAATGCATCTACTGTGTCCACTTCTGGGCTGTTAAAGAAAGAATTAGCAAGCTGTTCAGTACATTAGTTGAATTTTTAAGCAACACACTAATGCAAATTGCTTAAATACTATCCTTAACCATCATCTGTCAAAATAACCCCAGGTAAACTTCTGCTTCAGTGTAAGAATCTAAAGCTAAATTTACTTTTGAGGCCAGCACCATTACTGAAAAGCTGTTCAGGTCCATATAGCTTGGAATTTTAGTTTTTCTTTTAAATACACTTTATTCAGAACAGCAACAAAATCAGAGCACGTAGAAAAGTAATAACTAATAAACAGTACAAAGAGGTCAGGCCTGGTCTAAACAAAAGGCTTGCATGTCCCCTTTAAAGGCATGACTAAGTACAGATTTTAGTAGTACAGAAGAAGGTTTGAGTTTTTGCTATTATTTTAAGGGGAGAAACATGCAAGAGCCACATCCCATGTGAAAACTCATGGTTTCTTTACCTGCTATTCCTAAACACTCTGTCCAGTTGTTCTTGAATTTTCTTTTTCTGTGCACTGTAAGGTGTAATTATTCCAATGCGTCGAAGACCCGCATCCTTCCTTTTTTCTTTTATTATTCTAATTAATTCCATCACCAGCTTCACTTCCTGAGGATTACTAAAAGAGCTGAACAAGACAAAATAGAAACATTACAAAACCATGTTTGACAGTGCTTTCAAATTCAGCACTTCAGGCCAATTTGTAAGGGAATTATGAGTCAAAGTTCCTGTCCTGAACTTTTCCAGTCTCCTTCACATAGACACTCAAAGAACTCTACAGGCAGGCCCTGATGAAGGGGTAACAACAGTGAGAAGTATTAGCAGCAAGAGGCTTACACTTCAGGTTCCTTACAACTATATAGGTTTGCTTTCCTTACAGAACAGGCAAAGGGGAGGACTGAGCCTGCCACCTTCTGGTACTACCACAGCATGCAGCTGTGAAAGGAAAGTCGATTAAAAAAAAAATCAGGAATTCAAATTGCTACTAGAGTTAGAGACTGTAGGTATTCACTAGCAGCTAACAGCCAGCCAAATCAATATTAAAACCAGTTTCAGATCTAGCAAAACAAATAAACCCCCCCCCCCCCGAACATTTAATACCTGATTTTTTTGTGAAACTAAATGAAACAAAGTTGAAAATGCAGTCCTGGCTACTTTATGCATATTGGGAACAACAAAAGAGAGAAGATAATTATTTCTCAGCAAATCTAAAGTTTGGCTGAGTAGAATGCAGGACTTACTCATTGTTTCGCTCCTCACGGCCATCTCCTACATCAAAAATAAGGTAGGGCTGGAATGGCCACTCTGAAGAACATCTGCTCTCCTCTGTTGCTCTGTAAATAACATTTTTATCACTAGGTAACCATACAGGATTCTAAGAACTGATACTTCATTTATTTACACCATGGTTATCAAACACAAGCAACTTTTAGCTTTCCCCTCCACAAACTCCTTAACTTTCACTGCTATGTGCAGATACTGAGGTCTGAAAAGGAACTCTAAGCAGTAATTATGCTCAGTTTTAAGTGACCTAGTTAACCTATGTATCACAGCCAGCTCTAAAAAGGTGGAATGAGAGTTTTCTCTCATTAAGCATCTTCCCACACACAACCTCAGGGATTTTTAGACACAAAAGAATATCCTGGTATGAAAAGGTTTCTTTGAAATACCTCCTGCTTAGAAAGGAGAACAGAGTGTCACCCACCTATCAGTCTTTAGAGTCCTGCCATAAACATAATTGGATGGGAAGAGGCAGATGTCAGGGTGCATCCGGTATTGCACAGTCAGCTGCACTACTGGCAGGCTTCGTAAAATATTCTTGTGCACTTGCTCCTCCAAGTGTCTGTGCAGACGTGCCATCAAGGACTGATCGTAGCCATATTCCTGAGCTTTCTGCCAGGGGAGAAACATGGGACTGACTTCTGGAGAATGGGTCCCAAATTAACATCAGGAACTTGCTTCTTCAACTTAAAACTACTTGGTGTTTTCTTTCAAACTTCTAAATCACTGATAAAATGACAACGACTTGCACTTCAATTTTCTATTTGTGTTAGTCTGTTTCAGGAAGGATCACCTGCATAAATCTCAATTTTTGTCAGTGTTGTCTTTAGCAAGGCAGCTTTTCTTTGTGAGTCACAACACTGGGAAATTTTAACAACATCAACAATAATGAAAAGAAAGATCTTCCAGGTGGCATCTCCTTAAGCAAGCACACAGCCTCCGCACGATTTACCCTTCTAGAGAAGGCAGTCTGGTTTTCCTCCCTTTTTACCAGATGTTTAAAACAGACCTTACTGTCAGATACAGGAACAATCCTGTATGTTTAGTCCTTGGAACACATCTATAGGGTGGTGAAGTCCCCATACAAACAGCCTTCATCCCCCATTCCCTAAGAAAACTGACACTGACTGAAGCTCACATAATGAAATAACAGAGCCTACCACAACACAGTGCCCATCACAGACCAAGTGCAGAGCTGCACTGAAACTCCTATTGCCATAGCTATTATTAATGGTGCATGAAATCAAAATCAGTTCCAAGCTGCACCAGGAAAGGCTATAGAGGTCATACTCTCTCATCTCCATCAGCTTTATCCACACATTCGAAGGCAGTATTGATACGGTCTCCACATAACAAGGGACTAAACTTGCAGGGCAAAAGTTAGCATCATACACATCCTGATCTGACATTGAAGTGTCTTTTTTTCTTTTTACATGTTCTCTAAATACTGTTCTTTACCCTGTATGCACTACATAGCATTAAAAAGAAAATACAGTTTGAATACTTACCACTGATTTTACTGTAGGAGGGAGCTGTCTGGGATCTCCAACAAGGACAAGTTTATTACAGCGATGGATCAGTGGAATCAGTGTTTCAACCTCACAGGACTGCCCTGCCTTTTGTATATGCAAACAGGACAGAAAGTAGAAGTTGTAAGCAAAGGAGTGGAGGGAAGGATGTTCAATTTCCTGGAACAGAGCCAGGATAACTCAAATGCCTTCTAAGTCTTCTAAAAAATAAAAAGGAAAAAAATAAAAATAAAAAAAAACACCACAAACTCAAGAGAGGAAAAAATAAGGATTTCTCCCTAATAAAAGACTACAAACAGATTTTTCTTTTATTATGAAATATGCAGAGCACTCTAAACAGATACAAATATAACCCAACCATCTGGACATCTCTGAAGAGATTTCAGAGCAGCAAGAACCATATTTCAGCCATGATTTTTAAGTAAAAGCCGTTTTCCATTAAAGCACCAAATAAGTCAGAAAAAGCAGCAAGTAAAAGTTATTCTTCTCATGGCTCTACACAGCAGGACAGACTGGCTACCAGTTAAAAAGCAAAAATGAGCCACTTGACCCACAATACATCACACCAACAGCCAGTCAACCCACAGTATATCACACCAGCAGCCAACCAACCACAAGCCACCTAAGCAGAGAGCAAGGCAGACCTTAGAGGTGGAACACGCTGTAGTTCTAATAGCTTTACTGACCTCATCCACAATGACACAGCTGAAAGGATCAAGTCCTTGCCGAAAAAACACAGACTCCAGCAGGCATCCTCCACTTGTGCTCAGCGTGCAGCAGATGATGTCGGACTCCAAGATGATATCTGCCTGTACTTTCTGAGAGTGTCCCCGAGCCTTCAAGTACAACAGGACACCATGTCTCCTTTCCTGTTTAGGCTTTCTTAGAATCATCCTAGAGCAACTTCTAACTGCCTGGACAATACTAACTGCCAAAGAGATCATGCATAATGCATCACCCCAGTGAAGTTATCTCCATTATTACAAATGAAAGGCACAAGTCGACTTCACTGAAGTGTTACTTCCACTTTAAATTACAGATCGATACCAATGAGGCTGCAAGCTGGATAGAAGTATCCTTTTATCTCTCATCTATGCAATCCAGATGCACTGTGAGCAAAGCTTTATTTGCCATCACATTTGTTAAATCCAAGCCTCCAGGACCATTAAGGGGCAGCATGTATTCATTAAAGATGAACCTTTATTCATCACAAGGTTCATATCACCCAGCCTTAATTACTGGTTTTGCTGTCAGTGCCTATTTCCACTTTCTATCTCCACACACACAAGAAATTCTTCCAGCTGTTGTTTTACTTCAAAATATTTGTGAGTATCTCAGCTCCAGGAGGACTGTAAAGGGGCATGAAAGTGGTAATGAAGATACACCTAGAACATAAGCACAAGCATGCTTCTTTGCCAAATATGGCACAATTGTTTCAATTCTCCCTTAATCGTAAGGGTGGATATTTCCATCCAGTTCTGGGGGGATAGCATTGGGGATTTCTGTTTGCTTTGGTGGTTTGTCTGAGGATTTTTGCAATATGCAGCCAGAGTACACCCGGATTTCACACCAGGCAGTCTGTATAACTATAACTTACACTTGGCTTATGACCTTTATCTATTTACCTACTACTCTATAAATTCTTCCAGCCACATCAAAACCAAATCTCTATCCCAAAGAATATTAAGTAGAGAAATGTATTTGCTGAGGTTTATTAAAGAGGTGCCTCAAAGATAAATTCCTACCTCCTTTAGTTGAGAAGCAAGCTGTTGTCTCTCCTTTGAAAGTCTGCCAATTTCATCATCTAACATTTGACTCTAGATGGGAGAAAAAAAATAAAGAGAAACCACATATTTTCCATATACCTTTTTTCTTCCCTTACCCTAATTCATTTCTTAAACATTTAGACTTGTTCAGACTTTTTTTAATATTATATGCGCCAGAAGAAACCGACCAGTTTTAGAAAGTTGTCAACATATTTAGACTTTGCAACACACAATGTTACATCTTGCATTTCTGTGCAGCTGAGAAAAAGGTTTACCATCAGAAATCTGTAATCTCAGCACAAATGCCAAATTCTTAGACAAAAAAAAAGGACAACTTCAAGCACAACACATATCCCAGAATCTCAGACCACAAGGTATATTACTATTTCCAGTTAAACAAAACCAGAGCTTTGAAGTATACAATCAAATTAAATCATTAAGATTTATAAATATGGTTATATTAAAAACTAACTGGTGATAGAATGAAATGAAGATTAGTGAGCACCAGTGCAAGAAGTGGCATGATCAACCAGTTGAAAATATACCCTGATGGAAAGTTCTTCACTCCCTTTTGCAGTGCTAACCAAACTGTCCATTAATTGAAAAAGCAGCTGAAGAGACAGTTACTGCTCAGAGATGGCATTAAACAGTAGAACTCTTTACTCTCAAAAAATACAAGCAGGATTCAAAACACTACTATCTTACCACTTCCTTCTTCTCACATCTGTGCATGGCACGCTGACGAGACAGCATGTCCAGCTTTTGATCCAGAGCAGCTTTCTTCTTCTGAATATCCTGGTCACAGTCACCTGGCTTTCGTTCTATAATAAAACAAAGGAAAACATACATGAGAAATAGAAAAACCACATTACAATAACACTTGCTCTCACTCAAATGGACAAACTTCTGTGTTGCATTTTTCTGTTTTCTACTGAGGTCTTGTAAAATAAAGATAATGAGCCTTGGTTCCAACTGTAGCTCTCACGTGCTGCATAGCTGCATTGCTTAAAAGTCATTGCTTTTACATATATGCATTGCAATTTCTTCATTAAAAAAAAAACAAAAAACAAAAAACAAACCCAGTCTTGCTTATTTCGTTTTACTTAGATTTTAGGCCTTATGAAAGCAGACACTTTCCCACCAAGACTGAACAACAATACTTCATGAAGCACATTTGCAGAAAAATCTCTTACCAGCTCTTCCTTCTTAAAGAACACATAGCCCTAAGTGCAAAACACCATTAAGCTCAACAAAGACTGAAGAAAAGTCTGATTTGAATGTTACTTACTCATCCTATGTTCAACTTGCTTATCCAGGCTAAATCCCCGGACTTCACTGTTGATTGCTTTTTCGGCACCAAGTCGCACTAATTTGATATCACCACAATTTCCTGTTTACAAAATCAGGGTTAAAATACTTTTAGATTGCCCCAATCATCTCTGCACTTTGGTATGAGCGAAACAAAAAAGCAAACATCACAGATATCAAACAAGGTTCTTCCTTTTCTGCTTTTCAGGGGGTTGCAATAATTTATCTAAGCACAACTAAAAAAATTCAGGAATTCCAAACTCTAAACAAACAATCACACATGAGCAACAAAGATGATGGTGCCGATGTTTTAGTGCTGGCTAGCAGTTACGAATATTATTCTAAATTAACAGAACAACCTATTATTCTCAGGCTTATCTAAAACTTAAAGAATTCCTAATTTAGGAAATGACCAAGTACCATCAGAAACACAGCTGGTAAGCCAAAAACAAACTAACATTTGGTTACTATAAAGGTTTGGGATTTTTTTCCCCACCATACACCAGAGGCCTTGCTCAGACTTTACCTACTTTGTGTTAGTTACAAACCAGGAGGAGAAAACAAAGCACAAGTGAGAGGCTCTGATGTGAAACTTTTCAGTCTGTTCAGCATGATCTAAGTCCAATTTCATTCAAAATTGAGGTAATAGTCTTGTGTTCAAATCTCTAAGGAGTAAAAACTGGTGAACTGAAACTAACATTATGAGGAAAGGGTCAGTGTCTTTATACAGACAAAGTGCCATCTATTAAAAAAACACCTTGTAGAAAAGCACACTGAAATTAGTAACGGTATAAGGATGTATGAATCATGCTCTGCAAGATAAAAAAAGCTGCTTAGAGTAGCATATACATACTATATCTAATCAACTGTTCTAGCTTTTACTTCAGGTTTTGCCAACTTAACAGAATTTTAAGCAGAATTTTAAAGTAAACCATACCCAAAGGCTCCTGTCTGTTTTGGCATTTTTCCTTAAACGCAATGATGATCTTTTTCATGAGTTCATCAACAGCAGCATTTGATGGTGCACAAACAAGAAAACGGTTTGGCTTGATCTTGGAATTTGTTTTTTGCGTTTTCTCATTCCTGGTGTTCTGTGATTAATTAACAAGAAACCAAAACATGCTCTTTAGACTGTTTTCATTTGTGATTTAAAAGCCAGACTGTATGCTCATCTTAACCAGCAGGCAGACTATGGGGACTCTCACGCTTAAGTATCTCTTAAGGTATGTCTTACATTGACTAACAAGTCAAATGTATTAATACTACTTGCATGAATTCCCTTCAACAATGATGTACTTGATAAATCTACTGGATGCTGTCAGGAAAACCATTAAATAGGACAGACCAGATAATATTCTTTCATATATCAAAATGTTTTTTTTTTAAAAAACAAGTGTTTTTATTACCAACTGTGCACATTTCCTTGATTTTACTCAAGTTTTGTAAAATAAATGTTTTCCAAGATGCCCAAAATTTCCACTTTTATACCCTATACTATATAGATGTAATAAAGTCAACTTAATGAATTACACCCCCGGTTAATTACCAATACTGTGCTCCTATTTAGCTAAAGCTCTTCCATTGACACCATCCTTGTGTCCATTCCACGCATCACCAGCACATGACAATCACATCAGGTTCACTTACTTCTCTCAAAACACGAGACAGAAGTCCAACAATAGTTTTTGATTTCCCTGTTCCAGGTGGTCCATGGATAAGGCAGATCTTTGGAAGCCCCGGGTGCTGCTTCACCATGGCATAAGCTGTCTCAATGGCTCTCTTTTGATCTTCATTGTACTCACTCACATTCCATGCCTGAACAAAGAGACACAAGGAAAAATAATGTATTAATGTTGATCGACCCTTTCATGTTCATTTTATGTATTTTCAGAATGTCCCCCACCCCTCTAACTCAAGAACTTGAAGGGCATGGAAGCTTTTAATTCTAGGTTTGCTCTAGATGCACACCCAATCCCGAGTCAAGCTGTAATGAAGGTTTTATTTACCCTACACACCACTTTATTTTGCATGACCTTTTCCATACTATGCCTTATTTCCTGAACGGACACTCGTCCACTGTTGAAAAACACCTGAAAGCTGCCTGAAGCGCACTATTAGTATCTATGTCAACACAGCAGAAACACACTATCACACAGTCAACCAACTCTGAAATGCAGTGACTCAGTGCTTCTGAAACTTATCTCAAAAAGCAGCATGCAAAACCATTTTCACAAAACCACATCCAAATGCCCACTTTGTCATCCCTAATCATATTCAGCTGCATGACTTACAGTGCTTTCTGAAGCTACAGGCAAATCTCTGGGACAGAAGTCATTGTAACTTGGATTTATGATGGGTTTAGCCAGGGGACTCCTGCTCAGTAGCAGCAGACCTTTGAATGTTCGGTGTGTGGTCACCAGGGAGCCAACCACCATACACTTCACTTGCTTATTTACGAAGAATGACAAATTGCCTCGAGTTCGCACAGAAAGATGACAGATGGTATGCTGCTCCTTTTGTCCTATTGAAAGAGGGGAGGAAAAATCAAAACAAAACCACAAGCCGTTAATTCAAAGACTATCCAAACTGTTAAGTAGGACACATTCTAACAGGTCACTCGAAAGAATTCATCAGAACCATGCCTTCTATTAGGAAGCCAACAACTCATTCTTGCAAAAAAACCCAAATGCCAAAACAAAACAAAAACCCCCCATAAAACATATACAACAACGCTCTCTAACCCAACCAAGATTACCATTTTAATGAGGCAGCATTAATCCTGATAGCTGGTAATTCACAACTTCAGTTCCAGAAGATAGTGAAAATTTTAGTCAGTGAGACCACTGAAGTTCATGGCACTTCGTATCTCAAAGGAATGAACTCTTCAAAATGTATGCAGAGCATTTAGTCATCATTAGTTTCTGTTCTTATGCAAAGTATTAACCTCTATATTTTAGGAAGTGCCTACAAAAACGCACGGAAAGCAGGTCTGCACCTATAGTTCCTGGCTTTTTACGAAGCTTCTAGCACAGAAGAGACATGCTGTAGTGGAAGAACAATCCCATTTCCTCCGAGATAAGTCGCACAGTACAACTACCAACAACCAGTGACGAAGTAGCATTTTATGGTACCCAGAAGAATCCCATTTTTATTTCAACCCTATTAACTTACTAGTTGCACGGCCAGATGCACGAGAAAATCGTGTCACGAGACCAACTTCATTCACTATTTGGTCCTCCATCTCACTGTCTTCCCTAAAGGCATCTTTTTTCTTTTGGACCACCAAAAAGATTAAGTCATCTTCTTTTGGATGAAGCTGCTTTGCCAAATCACTTTCTCGCAGATGAGCTACCCAAAATACATTTTGAAATAATTAGAACATTAAAAGGAAAAGGGTTACAATTGCTCTCTGACTATAGAAGTACTACAATTAACATATTCAATATACTTCAGTAACACTCACCTGTTAATTTTTAAAGCAATTAAAAGCTATAGCAAAAGACTATGAAGAGTTTTAACACCATCCTGCATCCTTAAGCCTGAACATAGCACTATAAAAATAAAGCAAGTCAAGGACTATTTTATTTACCAACAGAAGCTAAAATAAAATCACAAATGAATGAAATGGGAAGTTGAAAAGATTTCAGCAGTAATCAAGTAACTTTTTGTACTAACACATAAGCCACAGATTCCCTGCAAAGTATGCATTCCTGTTATGTGCATTACGTAAAGCAGCAAATTCATATCTTTTCTGTAAAGCACAAATTCTGCCTGTAAGTGCTAGCTCATTACAACACATTGCTTATGTGAAAATGAGAAGAGGGGTTTATTAAAACAAAAAAATAACAAAACCAAAAAACCCCCACAAAACAACCCCTTACCTGTAAAATCTGCTGTGTTCAAGTCAGCAGAGAAGCTCTGTAAGTTAAAGTAGTAACTCTTCTCTCTTACTCTCTGGTTTTCTATCCACTCTTGTGCCAGCTACATGTTGGAAAGTAATAGCTAAATAAAAATACTTTGAAGGGTTTAGTGTTTCAGAAAAATAGCATATCATGACTCAAAGGGCAAACACACTAAGCAGAAATACAAGCAAGCTAACAGACTGTCAGGTACAAGCCAACAGTCCTACCTATTTCTCCAATGTATGTGGGCACATTACATAAACAGAGCAAATGAAAAGTGCTTCCTTCCCAACACCCTCTCATTTCTTACAAAGCTCTTCGAAACAAATGTATGCTCCCCCCCGACCACATTTTCACCTTAAAATACCAGTATTATCCTGGTACTAACTTCATTTTTTACCTTTTTTTCAATGGAAGAAATGATGCAATGACTGAATTTGCAAACATGCAACTTCAATTGAAGGAATGCTGCGTTTTCTCACTATTAAACTATAAACTATTAAAGTCAAACTATTTGGAAAAAAAATACTTTTCAGATTAAACCCCCCTCACATAAGCTCTCAACATGAATCAAAACATTACCGCTTTTTAAACTGTCATTAGGAGATTTCCATTTTAAACTTTATGTGCTATAAAGAAACAGGAACCACTTCCTTTTTCCCTCCTTTTGCATGCTATTGTTGATGCACACCCAATAAAACAGTGGTACTTAAGGTAACACTGACAGTCCCCATCTTAAGCTTAACTGTCGTGATATTTCCCCCTCATCATTCCTGTATTCAGACCTGTATCTGAACATTTTCAGAAGGTAAATAAGGCATGTAACAATTTTTAATCTCTTGGTAAAATCTATTAGGGCTGATGAAAACAAAACAAAGAGGCATACAGCTACTTACTGTTTCAAAGGCATTTAGCATCATCAAGGGGAAAAATGTATTGAAATAGTCATTATATCCTTGAAAGTGGACAGGAACAGCGGCTACTAAAGACTCTGTCAGATTACTTGGAGGTCCAAAGAGGCTGGAATTTACAAACATTTCATAAGTCCACCTTAGGACTTCAGTAATAAAAATACTGTAATCATGCTGCTTAACATAAAAGGGTGAAGAACATGCTTCTTGGACAGGCCTCCTGGAAATGTTTGAAGCATTGTCATTCTGTCTATTTTGTGACTGAAGAACATTATTAGGAATATTGGCTTGAGGTACATTAATGAAACTTGGAGACTTGCACGTCTGGTTTCTTATCGGTATAGGCTTTGCATTTGGAGGCCTGACCACCACTGGTTTTGCTGCATTCACTTTGCTTTTTGAAGCTGGTGGTAGCTTTTTAACATCTTCGAGATCCTTGCTGAAGGCTGCATTCCGTGAAGAACTTGCTGAGCTGAAAATTTTGGTAGTGGAAGGCTTTCTTGGTTTAGATGGCAGGAGAGAAGGTTTAGCAAACAAATGATCTGCTTCTGAGCTGGTAGCTGAATGCTTACTACAGTACTCTCCTGGGTTTTCTACTTTTTCATTACAGTCTTTGTACGTGCATTTCACTATAGTTGAGGATTCACTCTGCTGAAGGCTTTCAGCAGTATCCACTTCCTTTGGGTTTTTACTAGCTCTAGTGGTATCTTGAACACTTTCCTCCTCAGAACATAATTCCATATCCACTGGATCTAACTGAGTTAAAAACAGATCATCATCATCACCATCACTATTTTCATTTGATTTACAGCCATTTTCTTTTGTCTTCTCACACTCAGGCTGGACAATGCAATCATTTCCGGAAGGTTCATTTTTACCATCTCCAACCAATGCAGAGGAAGAGGGACTTGAATACACAGGTACAGGAGGAACCATCATACCATTATCCTCTGATTTTATGTTAATGTCTGAAAAACCAGGCAGTTTAGAGACACCAGTCTCCTCCTCCACAAAAAGGCTTCCAAATTCTCTCTCACCCGCAGCAGGATAACCAGTACACACCCTTTTACTCTCTCCTTGCTTTTCAACAGATGCCACTTCAAACCTTCCAGGCTTTTGTTTCGTAAGCTTTGTATCCAGTTTGCAAGCTTTTTTGTTTCTACCCCCAGAACTTCCTGCAGGATTTCCCACTCCAACCCTTCTTTTGGGCCTTGTCTGCCTTAAATACTGAAGGTCTTGGCAGGCCAGCAATTTTTTATTATGTTTTATAGACAAACTCTGAGGAGCAATTAGTTTAATCTTCTGTTTCTGTGCAATCCCAATTCTCCCTGCAGCTTTACCATAGCTGCGCAGTTGAGCCAGACTCTCTAAAGAGCGCTGGGATAACTCAAATGCTCTGCGAGGCGCCTTCTTCAGACCAAGTTTTTCTACAGTTGATGCTGGTGCTGGACACTGCCGAACTTTCCTTGGAGGAACCACAGCAGGCTTTGAACTGCCAGGTTGGGAAGTTTTTGATGTATTTTGAAATAGTTTTTTGGTTTGTGCTGGTTTAAGGACAGGTTTTTTAGGGCTTCTCTGAACAGTTCTTGCTACCTTAGAGTTTGCTATACTCTTCTGTGGGCTTGCACTGTTTTTCTTAAGGGCCAGTTTTGAAGCTAATGAGATCTTAGATGTAGATACTCTTGGTTCAGTCAATTTTGAGTGCAGGGTGAAGTCTTTGACAGTGCCTTTGCCTGCAGAATTCTCCAGTTGATCTTTTGCATTTTCCTCACCAACAGATTCTTGCCACGTTGAATCAGTTACTACTTTTGTATTATCAGCTTCTGTCTGATGAGAAAGATTTTCTGTCTTTCCTGTCAAGTTTGCTTCTTCTTCCATGCTATCATCATTTAGGTAATCCATATCGTAACCCCATTCATTTGTGTGATCATCCAGTGATTCACTTGAATCACTACTCCCAACCGATGTTGAAACGTGACCTTGTTTATACTCTTGAGTTACTTCCATGCTATAGTCTTGAGTATCTTGCCAAACCGAAAAGACATCAAGTTCTGTTTCAAATTCAAAGCACTGAGACTCACAGTCTTCCAGTGACAAGAGAGAGCTTGATACCTTTGATTCGGTTTTGGTATCACTACCAGAAGCGCAGCTGGAAGTTGAAGGCTGCTCATTTTCATTTTCATTTTTTTTTGTTTCTTTCTTGTCAACCACAGAGTTTTCTTCATCAGAAGAGTCTGAAATTATAATGACTTTATTGTTAAGGCAATCTGAACCATAGGGAGACGTGGTACGCTGATCATCACTGGAAGATCTTACCACACCTTTCACTTTCCTTCTAATATCACACACATTATCATCTAGTGAGCTCTCTTGGCTTGAATCAAAGGGAAAATTGACACCTTTGGCATAAGCAGCTAAAGATAATTTACTGAGTTCTCTATCAACCTGGGAGTCTGTTAAAGTATTATCTTCAGAAACAGTCTTCATAAAATCCTCCTCTTTCTTCCCCACTGAACTGCTTTCTCTCTTGAAATACTTTGAAAATTCTAACAACCTGTCACTTGATCCACACTTCACTGACAGTGGCCTGATCCGAGAACCAGGGCTGGATATATTGTTCTTGTTTTCAGAGCTAGATGGCACACGACCATTTGCTGAATTTTTATCCGTAAAACAGGACTTTGAAATTTGATCTTCACAGTTATATTTAGCCAAGTCATTTAAATCAAGCTGTTTCGAGTCAGACGCTTGCACATCAGGTGCTTTCTTAATCTCAGATTTTAACAGTGAACTTGATTTTAGTCCAGTTGATACTTTTTTCAGTAAGGTGCCACTGAACCCTGAAAGCATAATCCCATCATCTTCATTCTCCTGCATACCAGGTTCACTTTTAAAGAAGCTAGAGCAATCTCTGCCTTCCTTTGATGAGACAGCACACAGTGAACGGTCATCTCTGCCATATACACTCATCTCGCATCCACCACCATGTGCACTCTTCTCTTGCCTTATAGAAATGGCAGGTGAAGTTGTAGAGTTTGCATCGTTTCCTGCAGCCACAGAGGTATCCAATGCTCTGTTCTTTATACCTCTTATAACTTGCCTTAAACACACTTGTAATTCCTGAGTTTCCTGGATGTTCAGCTGCCAACCTAAAGATAGACTTCCTCGCAGAAGAAGATTGAGTTTGTCTAGGTATTGCTTGCAAAGAGCATGCTGCCCAATTTGATAGCCTTCTCTAAGAAGGCTGCGTATCAATTGCACACAGGCATGCTGCACAGAGTTAGAAGCTTGTAAAGATACTGTCGATGAACCTCTCACACATTGTCCAGGTAGTTTTTCAGTGCACTGTGTAAATGCAATAGCTGGAAGCTTAGTACATTTCACCACTGCTTCCACCCATTCCTGGGAGCTAATCCATAACAAATGCAGGCACTTCTTCTTTCTGTGTAGTTCAATAATGGAGACCAAGATCAGAAGAAAAAATTCAGAAACTTTTTCACATTGCTGGATACTTTCATTGAGAATACCTTTGGTTTCCGAGCAGAGGTAGTGAATGACCTCTACTATATATGCTACACCCAAGTCCTTTAAATCCATAAGTGACTGAACAAAAGGGATGAACCACAAAAATGTGCTTTGATGGATACGTGTATCTCTACCAATTGCAGATTGAAGCATGTTAGCCAGTGCTTGCATATCTTCATACATGTTGGGGCAGTAGTCTGGACAAATGGCAGTCTTCCATCCAGTATCCTGAAAAATAATTTCACCACAAATCATCCTCATCATAAACATCTGCAGAGTTCCATCTCCCAGGTGTTTTTCTTCTAGTCATAAAAGTTACTTCCTTTCAAATATACATTCATTCATTGGTAACATCTCTTATATCCTAATGCAAGTCTAAAACTAAATTTTAAAAATGCAAAAAATAATCAAACGCATGTGTATAAATAACTCATTTCCTAAAATGTAACCTATGAAATAAGTGTAAAGTAGCATTTCCTTTAAAAATCACTGTGAACTCTCCAAAAGATATGCTGACATATCCTCAGATAATCAAATATACATTTAAAGCCTTCAAAGACATTTCTTAAATACATTGCATCAACATCAAGAGAACACATCCATAAATATTTATTCTGTATGTACCAACTGAACAAGAAGTGATCAGACTGGCTATTATTTAAGGCACACAATAGTGACATACATCATTCAGTACTTTTTCTTTACAACGCTAGTAGAAACTAAGTAACTTCCCCTCATGTATTTTATAGATGGTTTAAACTGACAGTTTCATTCTGTGATCAGAGTTCAAAGAACAGGGAAACAAAATATTGGTTTAATACCTTTTGAGGCTTTTCTGTGTTATAACTATACACAATCTGACTGCAAGTAACCATGTCATCATTGTAGTCTGACTCTGGTTCAGTTTTCAGTGACCTGAAAAGAAATAGAAACTATTACAGACTCCACACAACTAACTTACGCTATAAGAAAGCCAACTGGCCAAGACAGATTCCATTTTTCAGATACTGACCAGGTGACTATTAAAGCTTGTACCTGTGAAAATACATCGTATTTAAAATTGTAGGGCTTATTCTATCCTGCTGGTAAGAGGCAGGAGAAGTGGCTGCCTCAGGAAAAAGCCTTCTACTAAGCCACAGATTCGACTATCTAGAACAAGCACCCAGAAGAACTCCATTTGCTTTGAATTTTCTGTGCATAAACACAGTTCAGTGATGGCTATGCACTCCTCAACTATAACTATTTGAACACAACACTCAAATAGCTTGTTTAACTGAGGAAAATCTCCTTAAATATGCCTTCCTCTTATCTACAACATTCCATGTATCTATATCTGCAGCTATCTGTAAGATTATAAACTGTGCATGTATAAAAGATACTGAACATTTAAGACATTGTCACTCAAAATTGATTCAAAATCTACCACATGAAGTAAATGACTGGTACGGTTATCTTATTTTCCACCAGGTTTTTAAAATTAGGCACAACTTCAGTTTTCCAAAATAGGTGTTCCTGAAGTCTTTGGACCTGGATTCTTATAAATACCTTTACAAGGGACGGTGTGCCAAAAGATGGAGTTCAAGTTTAAGCAACAAAATTCTGCTCTCAAAGAAGTTATTTCCAGGCTTCCTAGCACTGTGCTAACCAGCTACTTCTGTGCCAAATAAACACTTTACCTCATTAACTTTTTGCTCAATACTGACAATATTGTCCCTCAGAAGTTAAAAAAATCCATTTTATCTTAGGATATAAGTATATGAAGACAAAACCTTTCAAAAGATTATCTGGGGCCTGCTATGTGTTTTAATGTGTTTCCTTTCAGCAGCTCACTACGTTATCCAAGCTACTGAAGAACTGTTCCATGATTCCCACTTTATTACCTTCCCTTAAAGGAATACATTTAGAAAACAAACAAAAGTCTTAAAACCATACAGTACCATTAAGTAAACCTAATCTTGAGAAATAGTTAAAGCTTAACACAAGCTGAAAGTAAAGTCGAATCAGTTGTTATCTGGAACTACAATCAAATCTAAAACTATGTAATGCACTGAAAATTCAGGAATCCCCACAGCTTTACAAAGAGTGTCAGGCATGGCAATCTCCATTAAATTTATGTGCCAGTTGGTTATAGCAGTAAGCAAGAAAACAAGTAAACAAGAAAACCAAGACCAAAGTTACTACACTACCTGGTATTAAATCATAAAACTGATCTAGTCTCCAAATAAAACTGACCTCTTAAAGCTACTGCGTATATTTTTTATCTCACTGTTGTAGCTCACACTGTTGATAATGGTTTGAAAGGCTTGGACTGGATCAATAAGCTGACCCCATACTTTAGATCCGAGCTGATCCAAAATAACCATGAAACAATGCAGCGCTGGCCAGAAGGGGTCAGTAGACTCATCTGAAACATAACAGTAACATTGGGGAGAGTTGACTGAGCTGAAGTCGAAAGCAGTTGGTTTTCATTGATTTTTCTTAAATACTAATATATGTATTATAGTAAGTTGTAACTATACTCTTTAACCTGGAAAAAGGATGAAAAACATCAACCTCACTTATTTGTGCAGACAAGACACTGCTCCTTATGCAGTAACTGGATAGCAGTAACTAACATTTCGCACCTCGATGAATCCAATTCTTCCACATTGAGTTTTGCAGTACTGTTCTACGAAGTGGGTACAACTTACACAGCTATGACAATTTATACTTCAAATTCAAGCTAGAAGCAATTGGCTTTCTCTCAAGTATATTCTTTCCCCTTCATATAAGGTAACATCATACCCTCAATAAATATATTAAGCTCATAAAAACCTAGTCATGTGAGACACAGCCCAGATCTTGAGCTCATGTGCCAATCCCAGGCTATGCCATGACACGTGGCCTACAAGAATGGTCCAAGGGCTGCTAGCCTAAATTCCCAGCTGCAAAAGGGGTTCTTTCAAACAAATGGGTGGAAGAGTCAAATTTTAAGCAAGTTGTAGCAATTCAGAAGAAGGTGTTTCTGTATTTTAGGACTGAAAAGTCAAAGCATGCCACAGTGAAATGCACATTCCCATACAACCTGTACATTAAATGCAAACAATATGGTAGAAGTTACAGATTGTCCTCTCAAAACCTCTAAGCCAGACTTATGCAAGGCACTGCCATTCCTTTTCTACTTAAGAGTTTAAATGTAATTTTTCAATGTTTGTCAGTATTGCTCAAGTATTACGCAATAGTGACCATCTTCCAGAAGATAAATAAGCCTCAGCTGAAATCACCTGAGATACACTACTAAGAATTCACTAAGAACTTCAATAAGGAAGTTTGATAAAGATGAAAAATAGGCTATGAACTGCCTTAAACTCAGTATCAAAATTAATTACCAGCAGCTTCTTTCTCCATGGTGTGAAGTATAGACTGCATGAAGTCATTTTGTTTGTCTGGACCCAGTAACAAGGAATCCAAAGCTTGTTCTTCCAGCACTGTAAGCAACATACAAATCCCTAAAAGAAAAAAAAGATGCAATTTGTCCACATATTTGCAAACGTTTGCTCTAATTTTCACCAAACCAAGGATGTTTCCAACACCATTATCAGTGTAACACCTGACCAAAGAGATCAGCAGCAACATGAAACACACTACTGTTGTGCAACATTCGATTTTCCAATTTGACATGCCCCAAAATAAATAGCACCTATGAAACAGGAGAGCTCTGACTTGAAACAAATGTTTATGAGAGACTACAAGTACAGATTCATTCCAGATCATACTCACCTAGCCAATAGTTTTTGTAGTTGGCAGTATCATATAAGTGAGATGGCAGAAGGATGAGTTTGCCCTTTTCAACCATTGAAGAGCTGTAAATATCCTGACTCTCAAAAAGCCCCAACTCAATAACTTTGAACAAGCAAGTCAGCACTTCCTGTAAGTCATAGTAATCATCTCTGTCAACCTTGCCTAAATTCCTTGCTGTTAGAATGGCCCATCGACGAATCTAAGGATTGAAACAAAAAAGTTTTATATTAATAGTAAGAAAAAAGAACAAATAAAATCACAATGCTGTAAGATTAGGAAACATTGCTACTACAAACAGGACAAAAGTGTGTTTTTACTAAAGGAAGGTCTCGTAACTGCAAGAGTGGGCAGTTTTATGAGGAAAGGCTGAGAGCTGGGTTTGTTCAGCCTAGAGAAAAGGTAGCTCAGGGGAGACCTTATTTAAAAGGTGGCTACAGAGAAGACAGAGACTCCCTTTTTACAAGCAGTTGCACGGAAAAGATATGGGGTAATGATCACAGCTCCCGAGGAGATTCCAACTGAACATAAGAGGAAAAACTTTCACAGTGAGAACAATCAGCCATTGGAATAATCTCCCCAGGAAGTGGTGGATTCCCCAGTGCTGGACACTTAAGATTCTGCCATTCCACTCTAGGTCACGCTTTGCCAAGAAAGGTGGGAGTAGAAGATCCTTGAGATCCCTTCCAACCTACTCTGTGAGCCTGTGAAACAAAACTCTTTGGGATTTATGTGACAAAAAGGCAGCATTTGGTTTTGTACTTGCTTATATTACCTAAACATTGTTTTTCCGATTAGATAATTGTATACTGTAACAACAGGTGTTAAGTTGTGCTCTCAGCACAGGACTCTTGTCCACTCTTACCTTGGTGGAATTATTCTCTGACCTACTGAGAAAACTTCAGTTTGAGCAAGTGTAAAGTAAAATACTGTTAAATCTTTTACTGTTTCTTAGGACATGAAATTTTGGACTCCACACTGGTGTTTAAATAAGCCAGCTGAACATCTGTAACTTCCACAGACTAAATGCAAACAGCAAAGTGATTCTAGAACAGTTTCTTCAGCAAGAGTAACTATATTCCTACTGAAAACTCATTTTTCTATATATTGTTAAATACAGAAAATCAAACACTTAAAATTCTGAATGCTACTATTTTCATGCTTTTGCCATTAAAAATAATAATCTATCCTGATGCCATTTAAAACTAAGTTTTAGTGGAAAAGAAGTAACTTACCACTTCATTTGGGTGTACCAAAAAGAGATAAATTCCTGGATATTTCTCAAAGACCTGAAAGGAACTGTGACTTCTTTCCATTCTACAGAGCACTTCTACACACACCTCACCTACAAGGATAAAACACTTACATTAAAGGGTAATTTATACGCTCGCAAAGAAACCCAAGCAATAAGACAAATACAAAATACATACACACACACGTACACACTAGAACTTCAGTTTAACTACTACTTGTTATTTTCATCTCCTTCAGTAGAAATAATACCATTCCCCTCCAACCGTCCATGGTAAGATACATACTGACTCTCTCATGCAGCAGCAGATACGGATATTTCAGTACTTCTAGAAGGGGCACTCGCAGGTTATTCTCAAAGTCCGGGCCCACATAGCCAGACAGCTGTGTCTGTCCATTCTCATCGACTACAAACAACTCATCATCTTCTCCAGCTTCTTCTTGCATGGATTTCTCAATGTGGGCAACAAGACGGGAGGTTTCCAACTCCCACAAGACCTATTCAGAAGGGAAAAACAATTACCCTAAGTGCATATGTGAAGAAAGCACTTAAGGACATTTATTATCACATGCAGAAACCTTAACTAGACTTTCAAAACTTAAAATTTCATTTAAAAAGTTTCTTTCCAAGCGTGGTGTAAAATGATGAAGTCTTGAGGGAGAATTCAGATTGTGCGAATCACAAAACTCTCACTTCAGAGCTAGGATTATAAAGTATGGTGGTTTTATATTTTTGTTAAATATGCATCAACGATCTCAGTTGTTATTTCAGGCCAGAGATTAGTCACAAAACTTTGCTTCACTGGCCAATATAAAGAAGTATACAATACAGAAAACAATCATATGTGGGAAGATGGGAAAAGCCTTTTTTAAATCTTGCCTTCTCACATATTTTGTAACGTATTGGTGAATGGAGTTAATGTAAAGAATGCAAACAGACTGACCGACTTGCTAAGTATTTGTAGCAGATTCAGCTCACTTAACATTACTCATCTCAAGTAAATTTCTCCCAACTTCAATTAGAAACCAAGATTATTTCCTACAGCTAATAGAACTTTGAATAGTCCAGTGACTCCACCTATTTCCAGTCTATACTCAGATGAGATTGCCCTGCAGGGAAATCTAATTTAAAGAGCAACAGTGAACAACTGGCTACAAATATTCATCTTACACACAAGCTTTCCAAAATGTAAAACTGGGATACTAGTGAGGAAGAATTACAAAAGGCTTAAGATAACAGAGTTTTAAACTTTGCCTGGTTTTAATTGCACAAGATTGGAGCAGATCTCAAACTGAAGCACAGCAGAAAACTATGAATGAAAAGTGAAAGTTCACAAAAAGAGGAAGAAACGAGAGTGGAACAGATGCCTGAGGAACAAAAAAAACACACTGAAGAGGGTGAGCTGTTAGTCTGTGTTCCAGAGTTCAAGGATTCCAGGTTGAGAAAAACAAAACACAATAGAGAAATCTCAACTAGTTTATTAATATAGGGAAAATATAGAGATAATAAAAGATAGAGTCAAGGATATTTCTGATGTTTGGTTATCTTACCAACCCCAAAGACCATGTAATGACAATCAGGAAACCAGCTCCAAGAAACATCATCGCAGCATGAGGTGGCAGACTCAACCTCAGCGGGCATCCCCGCGGAGGCAATGTTGACCTAGGTGCTATGAGGTTCTGCCTCTCCACATCACATGAGGCTCAGGCTTTTATACTACCAAAAATGCACACTCATTTTGATGTAGGGGGCCAGCCTACCTCGGAAGAAGTGGCCAGCTATACCTAGAAAGGTCTCCCAGGATCGGGACTTTTCTGAGGACCAGCCAAAAGAGGACTTTTCAGGGAGGAGCCACCACAGACAAACAGTACTTTTCCATTTTTGTGTGTTTCACCACAGACCATTACCTATTCTCACTGACACAGTCTGGCAGGTGTTCTTTTTTTCAGATGGCAAACCACCATAGCATGAATAGAGTACAAGCTATAACGTCTACTCAGCAACTTCCCACAACTGTTTTAGTTCTCGCTAATTTGAATATACGCAAAGCAAGATGGTGTTCTGGCTTTACAATCAGCTCTTTGCAACACAATATATAAAAAGCAAAACAGTTAAAAAGCCACATGGCCTATTCCCCAACACCAATAAACACAACCCCTGCACAAAACCTCCCCTTACACTGAAGCTGGACCACAGAAACCTCGTTTGAACGTTTCCTTGCAGTCTGTGTCCTCCCTCTCTAGTTGGAGCCAAATTTCTTAATTACCTCATGTAACCCTGGCAGTTTTTCCTTGGCTTTGTGGTATTCAAGCACACACTCCAGGCAGTAACAGAGATCTTCATTGGATCCTTCAAGATCTTCCGGGGACAACCGTTTAGAAGCATAGCTCTTCAGGAACTCAGTGGCGTCGGGACCACTAGGTGTACACCATCGACACGTGCTCATTCTTTGCATGGAAAGAAGGAGGAATTAATGGAAGTTCAAAGGCTGAAAGCAACAAAATATGCCCTTTTGGCCACAACAGTACCTAGTTTTCAATGGGATAAGTTTCAGGATTTACGTAACTCATTGACAGCATACATGTGTATGTTCTTGGGTGACCTTATATTATACAGATATACACAATTAAATAAAGGAATGCAGATTAAACCATTAAATTAACATTACAGAAAAATGCCTCCTGAATGGCAAGCGTTAGAAGTAAAGCACTGAAAATAAGTCAAATTACATCATTTGCAAACTATGACATAATATGTGAAAAGTGACTTTACGTTGCACAAGTAATCCCTCATCCACACTTAACGCACACTTTCCAGGACTGCAACGCTGGAGTTCATTATATCGCTTTACTGGTACCCATAGAATTGAGGTCTAACGCACACAAAATGTAATTAGCTTTTTTTCTTAATCTCCTGCTAAAATTTAGGTCAACAAATCCCTGTTGCCAGAAGCAAAATATATCTGTGCAGAACTTTCCTGTCATAGCTGTTATTACAGTTAGAAAACATCATCATATTCTCGCCACAGATTGCTTCCTCTAAAAAGGAAAAAAATCCTAAATAAGCAGCAATACAGTCATCTCAGATTATGATAGCATAAACAGCTCAACTGAAGCCTGGGAAAGCATGACGACTTGAGGCAAGTATATAAAAGGGAAGACAGTAATTACTGTGCTATTTAGCATAACAAAGAATAAAAAAGGGAAATCTAGATAAAGCAAAACCATCCACTCCCTCATACATAGGTACTGGAGGTATTTACCTTTGGAAAAGGAAGGTATTTGCTGTGAGGGTGTGTTAGGTAACATGAAGACAAGTGTGCTACCCCGCAGCTGGGAAAGGGGGCTGGCCCCTCCAGCCACACATGCCCTCGAGTATCTTTAGTAATCCATGCCCTGGAAACCGAGCCTTGGTGGCATTTCAGAGACCTAGGAAAAGAAAATAAGCCTCAGAAATGGGTTAAATTCACGCGTTATAAACTAAGAATGGCTTTGGCACTCAGATTAACGTGCCATCCACTGAAGAGCCAATTGATCTGCACCTGAATCCCCTCCGGACGCCGAAGGCGGGCAGCAGATCACGCACCCGCCTTTTCCTAACAAAAGGTGGGAAACTTCATCCGCGCACGTTAAGCGAAGAAACCGCTCCGGTAGCGAGGGCCAAGCCTGCCTAGGGGCGAGCAGCAACCACCGGCACCTGCCCGAGGAGAGAGCGAAGCGGCGCTCCCCAGTTTCCCCCCCGCCACCAGCGCCCACCCACCGCTCCTCCGCCGGAGCTCGTTGCAGCCGGGAAAGGCACCGCCGCTTACCCGCCGAGCGGGCCCGCGCCTGACTCTGAGGCGGCGTGAGGGGAGCGCGGGGTCCCCCGGGGCAGCGGCAGCGCCGTCCGGCCCTCCCCTCCCCTCCTCTCCTCTCCTCTCCTCTCCTCTCCCCTCCTCTCCTCTCCTCTCTTCACCTCACGCAACCCCGCGCTCCTCGCCCCTGCCCGCCTGCTCCCGGCCGCGGTGCCCCCTCCCCGCACACACACACACCGCGCTTCCGGGACGCCGCCGGAAGTGGGCTCCACAGGCGGGCGGGGCCTTAAAGGGACGGTGAGGAGGGAAACTGAGGCACGGGCTGGCGAGAGGGGAGCTGCCGTGCGGCGGTAACGCGTTAGCGCCCTAAGGAGCGGGTTGCTGGAGCACCAAGATCCCGCTCCAGCTCCACAATCGAGCCAAGCAGGGGGCTTTCTGCAACGCTCTGAAGTGATAACCCCCCCAGAGAAGCTTCCTCGGGGTCTCTGAGGCAATGGAAGCCACGGCCAAGCGCAGCTGTGCCTGCCATCCGGGAACAGAAACGGGCAGGAAGGGCCATGAAGGCTCTTGGCTCAAGGGGTTGTATCCCCGCCCCACCAGCGCGATGCTGTCCCTGAGGTGCTCCAGGGATACAGATCTGCTGCCTTCCCTCAACTTCTCGTTCCAGACTTCACAAAAGAAACGGGTGAAGGCACCATGAACACTCCATGACTTTGAAGTGCTTCTCTGCTGCAACCACAACTCTTGGAACCCGGCTGGCTCTGGCTTTGATAATGCCACACAGCTGAGGCTTTATTTCCTCTGTAACACCATTCAGGTCAAGGAAATGCTTGAAGCAACACATCTGCTGGCACCACCTGAGTGTTTAGGGGACACACAGTGCTTTTTAGACTTGAATGCACCCTGATGTGGTATTTCCCTTGTCATTAGCCCATTTGTGTTTTTTTTTTAAACCCCTGCATGCCGTTTGCTCTGTTTTCACTAAAATTCAAATATCTACATTCAACAACAGCCTCCCTCTTGCTTTTTAACACGATGGCAAAGGGAGACACCCCTGACTCCCATACAAGGACTTGAAGGTGCATCAGAAATACATTTCAGGAGGTGGTGCTGAAGCCCCTAAACCACAAGATAACAAGATACCAGAGCTAAAACAGACATTTAACTTGATACTTCTAACAGGTAGCTACTTTACCGTAGAAATATTATCATCAGGATGAGCCCTATTCAAGCTCTCCCTGAATTAGAGCTGGACTGCATGCCTTACTGAGATCCTTCCTTCCCTAAGACAGACAGATCCCTTACATCAGATCCTCACTAAGTGGCTGAGAGCATGCTGAATTAATGCTAATAAAACATTAATAATCCATATCACTAATAATTATTAAAATTGTATAGATAATTCTATTAAACAAACTGTGGTCCAAGACTAATATTGGGCCCAGCCGCACATAAGCACCATCAGGAGTTTAGAAAGCAAAGGGGTCCACTCTGAACCTCATGAAGTGGAAAGGTCTTCCTTACCCTTTGCATCTCCAGTCTGTGAATCATTCTAAATTGACTGTATTTTCCTTTATATGTTTCTTCCATGAAGTAATGAAGTAAACCTTGCCATTAAACTGACTGATCTGCTGTTAAACTGTGTAAAATTCCATCAAATTTATTGAACTCTTGTCAAATTATTACTTGACCTCAATAAAACATATTGCTGCTTCTCTCTTTGAGTGAGGTGCATTCCACTCACCCACAAGTCTCCCTTTAAAGCAAAGGATAAAATAAATCTTGTTATGCAGCTAGAAGTTTATTTCCATGAGATCTACTCTACAAACTCTGTAATCATGGAAGAAGATTCAGAGGATCTCCATCTTCCAAGAAAAGAAGCATCTTGAAAAATACAGACTCTTAGTTCTTCAGCTTTTAACCTTTAAACCTGTAAGGCAACAGACCTAAATTCAAGGGAGCTGGTATATGTTTCTTTCCTCCCATCCTGCCAGCCCCATTTCATTTCCTGTCTGGAAAACTTACCCTTCCACCAGTGGCTGACCTCCTGGGGTGTTCTGCCTGTCTCACAAGAATCACACTGGTTTGTATCTTCAGAGAGACTAAAGGCAGACACAGTTAAACATGGGAAGCTCTCAATTGACATCCTTTGCTATAAATCAATGATAATTACTAAAGAAGGAAATTCTCACTTATCCAAATGACCATCAAAAAGCAGTATGCCAGAGACCAAGTTCTCCTGACTTACTTTTTAATACAGCATACAGGAAATATAAGCAAACCGGACAAATGCTTTACAGGAACAGGAAGACTTTTGGGTTGTTATTTTACATTCACTCAGTCAATGTACACATTCTAGGCAGACAGATGTATCGTAGAAAGCCATAAATACAACCTCATCTTACCCCTCAATTTTCTTATTACAATGTAGAAGCTCTCCTTGGCACAATAGAAGTATAAATCTATATACACACACACACTATTTTGTCTCTGTATTCCAAGTATTAACAAAACCATTTTAAATGCATTGTTCTGCTTTGCATGAAATGAGATTATCATTTATGAATAGCAATGGACAAAAATCCGTTTTCTCCATAAGGCTGATAACAGTGTCAGTCTACATCAAAAATAAAAATCAGTTGCTTTTAAGAACAAGACACCTGTTAAAAAAACAACCCCAAAACAACACAAAGTCGTGCTTTTTCCATTAAAACAGACAATTAAGATGTTTATTACAGAGATTTTAAAGCAAACTAAAAGTCCTTTCCCAAGTCACTGATATTTTAAAAAATTACTTAAAACATATTAAAGTTCTGAAAACCAAGCTTATGCATAAAGGCTAAAGAGCAGCTTTCAACTCCACAGAAAACAAAGTAGTGGAAAAATACCGGTTTTGAGACATTCAAAAAGTTGAATGCTTAAACTGTATTTACCTGCCTTCAATATGAAACAAGAGAATCAGACATATGTATCTTTACTTTCTCCATCACTAGATGCCCTGTGTACCTGCAGTTGTTAGTCTGTGCCCACTTTCAACCACATCCATTTTATAGTTCAATGTGGACACTAGGTACTGTCTTTAGGGCAGTCAATCGCTGTCTTCACTGGTGTCAAAAATGTCACTGAATAGGAGCTCCTTCTTCTGTTGCACAGGTTCTGAGATGTCAGAACTAGGGTTTTTCTCCTTATCTTTTTCAAGCCTTTTTTCAAATTCTGGAAGTTTCTTTTCATAAAGGTAATCAATAATTTCTTTGGGGGAGAAAAACAGAGAGAAAAGTAAAGTAAATTGTATCTATAGGGGAAATGGATGCCATCAGGAAGCAGGATCCCACAGAAATTATTCTGTCAGTGTTAAATGCAAACAACAACAACAACAAAAAAAAATACACTGCTCCAACACAGACACACAAGAAACTAAAAAAGCAGTCACAAAACATTTAAAGCCAAGGGATTAAAAAAAAAAAGAGGTTCATAATCACTGCATGAAGATGTCATTGAAAGTAAACTGTTATTAAAGAAGGGCATTCAGTAAAATAAGTACAAAGCCTGAGATATCAGCCAATTTACTTGGGGGAAGCTAACTAAGACATAATTCAGATAGAATACGTATCCTCTTAGATTCAAGTGAAAACGTTAAGGAGTATACACAAACAGCTGGGATACTGACCGGAAAAAGTCTTTCTTCGCCATAAAGGGACAAAGGAAACTTTTAGCTTATAAAATTTTTCTTGAATGTACTCTTTAGGGACATCTCTGAAAAAAGAAGAGTTCAATGAATTAGTGGTGCAAGGAATTATTATGAAGTTTTGTTGCTACTGAGTTACCCATTCATGAGAGTGATGCCAGTCAAACAGTATCTTAGCTTTAGGTAGAAAGGACAGATTTCAAATCCTAATTAAAACAGTTTTTCAAGACAGCAATTCCCCTTGAAGGTAAAAACCTAAACCATGCCATCACACATACGTATTACGTGTTTAGTGAGAGAGTAAACGAAACTGAAAGTATGTGGAAAACATCAAAAGCACTGTACAGCAAGTATACAGCATTCACAGCACTGGTAGTTTCATATTCCACACTTACTGTGTTTGGAAGAAAACTATTACATTGTATTACACACATTCCTATAATTACCCCTTTTTCCAATATGTAGGGATGAACACCTGGAAAAATCTTTTATCAAAGACTTTAGCATAGACTGTATTACAGTTTTAAGTACAGATATGCTGGGAATACAATAAGGGTTGCCTGAAGTGGTTACCAGTGGTTTCCAGACCATATAGGCACGGTTTATTGCCCAGTGCTATGCAAGGATATATGTGTATTGTATGTTACCAAGCTAAATGATGTTTTCTATAGTTGCAGAGGTCTAAAAAGTTTGATTCCTTTGTAGAACTTTTAAGATAGTCTGCTTTAACAACACTTTGTATCCACACAAAGAGGATAAACAAAGAAATAAAAGAAGGTTTACCCGATAATATCACTAAATTCTTCCCACTTTACTTCACTAGGATCCTCCACGTTCAGTTCATGCAACCTAGGAATATAATACAGAAGCAGTCTGTAGGCAGAATTCAAGAAATAATTCAGTAACAGACTCACAATTCCCCAGTCAGAAGTCACAGGACATTTTGTTCTAAAGAACAGCAGTTGTGAAACCTGTATGAAACTGCAGACACGCCATTCTCACCCTGCAAGCCTTCATAAACACCAGAACAGTAAGAAACACAAAAACATTCCAGTACTTCTGAACTATACCTTTTAATAAGATTGATTTTGGCTTGTAATCCTTTGGTCCCCCTACATAACTGCCGTCCTCTGTTCAACTTGTTTTTTAAAATTGTAAGCCTATGAAAACATAGAAAAAAAAAAGTTCTTATTTCAAGAAATTCCAAGCACCAAAAGGAAGTGTCTTCAAGATGCTACTGCTGCCACAAAGTGGCAGAAATTAGGCTTACTGTCACAGCAAGAACAAAACTCACCACAGCTAATGAAGTTATCTGTCTCAGACATATTTATGATGCCTCTTCTGTAACCTACCACCTATTTATTTCCTATCTTACCGAACAATCATCATGGTACACACAGTTTGGCAGAAGAGTTAAATACTCTCCAGAACACATTTTACTATCTCAATTCAGTATAAAAACTTACCATTTCTGTTTACATTGTCTCCAATATCGTGTTCCCACTTTAGTTTCAATTTCAGACCATGGTAATTTCTGGTACAGTTTCTCACGGTCAACTACGATCTCTCTATCTGGATTTCCATCTTCCACTCCTATTCTTTTCCTAATCACCTCCTCCACTGCACACATCAACTTCTGGATCTCTTCCGCTGACCAAGGGCCGTAATTAGTAGCTAAAATTGAAAAATAAGGTTAAGGCATAATTTATCATAAATGACTAGTGAAAAAAGGCAAAAGAGCACTTTTATAGAATCCTAGAATGATTTGGGTTGGAAAGGACCTTAAGATCATCTACTTCCAAAGCCCTTGCCACGGGCAGGGATACCCCACATTAGATCATGTCTGTTCTTATTTACAGGACCAGCTTCTTAACACACTTCCTAGAAACCTCTACACACCAAATCGGAAAGAAGAGCTCAGCCTAATCACCAAATCCGGTTGCCAAATTCTTCCCACCCTGCCGCCAAAAGCATCTATTTAGACATCAGTTCCATTTAATACAGAGTTGCATTTGTTGCATTTCTTTTCTCTTTTCCATCAGACTGTTCTTATCCCTTCCATATGCAAATACAGTAAGTGGTTTAGAAAAAAGAACAACCACCACAAATTAATTTAAAAAAGAAAATAAAAAATCCATTCCAGGGATTTTTTTTCCTAAAGTTTAGGACACATACAACCTACAGTTAAAATAACTTCTGAAGTTGCAATACACATAATGAATTGCTTTTCCTAAAATTACATACCTGACTTGAGTTCAGAGTATTTCATAGCAAGTGAGAGGTTAGAACGGGACATCATTTGAGAAATCTTCTTCCAATTATTGCCATGCAGAGCATGATACTGCTTCAATTTTTCTTTTTCTTCATTAGTGTACCTGGTTGAGGAAATTAGCAAAGCTTCAGCTGCAAATTCAAACCATTCCAATATCTTAAAAGAGCTGTAATCGTTACAGATGTTTAATCACTACCCTTTCATGTCACACTTTAGAACAGAAGAATTAATAAGGACTAGGCAGAAAAATGAACTGTCAATTAAGATGCAGCAACTGGCACAAATCAGAGATGATCTTCATTTATACCCATTTTCTGTGGTCAAATAAACCTCAGAGACTGATATTAGTGTTCAGAAATGCTTTCAAGTTACTCACCTCCCTTTATAATTATGTGGGTCAAAGATCTTCCTTGCTCGGTAGTATACCAGTGCCCAGGGTCGTGGTATGCCCTCAGCTAGAAGGTAAAATGATTCATTTAAGTAACATTACTCACAGAGGTGAGGCCACTTTCAAAAAAAGCCAAAACTAAACAAAACCCCAACAACATACATTTTTGTGACCATGCTATCAATGACAGATTCTCTCCAGTCAAGAGAATGTACTGTACAACACTCCAGTAACTACACAGGGAAGGAATGGTCTGAATAGAATCTCCTGAGGAGTTTCAAAGATGTAACTGTTACGACCGTGGCAAGATTCTGAATGCTGAGTGCTGGTAAATAATTGTCTACATGCCTGTGCACCTGTATGTGAATATTGAAAACTGAACTTTTAAACTCTCAAGCACAAACCTAGGTATAAATTGTATGGACTGGCTATACATTTGATCCAAATGCAATTAAAATTTAGCCAACTCCCATTAGAGAGACATAATTTCTTTCTGTTTCTGCCATCACTCACTCCATCCTAAACCTGCCATCTATTTATGTGCTCTAAGAACAGTCAAGAGTCAAACATAGCACTCAATCAAACCTGCCATTAGTAAGTCACTATGCTTAATTACAGCCTAGCAAATAATGCACTTTAAGCCACAAAGCCCAAAGGCAAATCTGGAAGTCTGTAAGCGCTGCTGGTCATGATGGTATTTTCATCTCTAAACTCTGCAAAACCAAGAAAAGACAGCAAGAACAGTATGTGTAGTTGATAATCTATACAGCAATCTCAGCAGCATGCTCCTTTTTTGCCTAATTTGGCAACATTAGTGCTTTGCTATATAGAAAATACACTGTGCTATCACCAGGTTGCGAAATTTTAACATTCAGCCATTTGAACAAGGAACTTAAATACTTACCAATTTTTTCAAAAAATTGATGTTTTGCTTTTATACGATTGATGGTTCTTCTCTCTTCTGGATACCTCGAGGTAAACAGGACTTTCTCAGCACTATCTATCCCAGTCATTTCTAAGAACTCTCCAATATTTTTCCGGATTTGATTATTCTCCTTCTCGGAAAATCTGCCAAACTTGACAGCAATACCTAAAATGTACAGAAAGTTTTATTAAATAAAAAAGAAAACTTCAAGTGCCATCTCTTGTACATTTCAGGGTTTAACAAATATGACAAAATATCAATTAACTCAAAAGGTGAAAGAAAAAAATGAAAGAGACCAAACAAGAGCTGGAAGCAGGGAATTTACACATTTACTTCGGACTGTAATTCAGTAATGAGGAAGTTGAAGCTACCAAGCAGAGAAGTGGAAAAGGTGTCTACTACAATAAAGTGAACCAGACTCCATGGATGTGACAGACATGGTACAAAAACTATGTTCCCTCTGTCAAAGCATTAGCACAGCTCCACAGTCCTTCCTCATTGCTACAAGATTTTGGAGAGCTCACCTTGTTTTTTAAACTCTTTAAACCTCACTAGGTCGCTTCCAGCCATCTTCATGACTGAACTGTCTGACATATTCCTCACATGAGGAATAAACTCTTCCAGTTCCCGTTTTGCGGTATCCAAATCCATGAAAGATATGGTAGAGTCCAGGTCATCATCATCATCATCATCCAGATTGCCATCATCTGTGGTTACTGTTCTACTAAAGGAACTATTCTGGTCCTCCCTTCTATTTAATGCCAATGGTTCTGGTGCCCTGATATAAAGAAAAAAAGAACATAAAATACAGCACTAGACCTCAAAACCATTAAAAGAATTAACATATTCATTAAAGAATGAACATATTCATTAAAGAAGAAATACTTCACACATCCCCTTTGTATTCCCATCTTTCAACACAGATGTTATTTATTATCAGATTTCTACCGTTACAATACTCAAAAAGCTTGAAGCTTTGAAAATTGCACCTTTCCCACGAAACTCTCACATATGAACATGCAGAAGAAACAGTCTTTCTTGCTACCACTGGCAACACAGAACTTTTTTATCTGTCTCTTACTAGTCGTCTGTGGGTTCTACAACACTGCAAAAGCACCAAGAGCTTGTTTGTGGTTCGGGTTGGAAGGGACTTTAAAACTCATCCAACTCCAACCTCCTGCCACAGGCAGGGACACCTTCCACTAGGGCAGGTTGCTCCAAGCCCTGTCCAACCTGGCCTTGAACACTGACAGGCATGGGGCAGCCACAGCTTCTCTGGGCAACCTGTTTTAATGCCTCACCACCCTCACAGAAGGGTCCATATAGCTAATCTAAATCTACCATCGCAGTTATAACAAAGCTCTTAAAGTAGGTCTCTGTAACATCACAATATATTGTAAAGGGTTTTGGAGCCATTTTTAAAAACTCATACAGAACAGACTGAAGAAAAATCTGGGACCAAAATAATGTGACAGAAACATGCGGGAGAAGGGCTGTAAAAATCCAAACACAAACAAAGTCTACATACGTTACATCAGAATCTGAAGAGCCTTCATCTGTGATATAAGCTTTGCTTTTTCTCTTCTTAGAGCGCACTGAACGATATTTAGAAGGCCGATTAGCTGCTTTAGTCACCTTAGACAAATTAGCAGGTACAACCATAGAATCTTCTCTCCTGGCAGGAGAAGCATCACAGTCACCGTCATCATGGCATTGCTGGGACAATGCCACACCATCCGCTTCTGTAGCTAATGGCAGCTCTGTGCCTTTCCCTTGCCTGTTTTGCTCTGCAGGTGACAACAGTGACTGGTCAACAGTTACATCTGCTTCTTCTTGTATAACTAGGATAATGCTGCATATATTCTCCTTGCTTGGTGATCCTTCACTGCCATTTCTGTCATGTGTTTCTGAGGTAGGAAGCTCATGTACCTCATCCTCTACAGATAATGTCACTTCCTTTACAGATGGTTCTAAATAAATGCAGTCAGGCAGCTCACCTACTGCATCCGCTTCAGGTAATTTCTCTTCTCCTTTCTTCTCCTTTACAGGTGGTTCTAAACAAATGGATTCAAGCAGCTCACCTAACTCATCCTCTTCAGGTAATTTCTCTTCTCCTTTCTTCTCCTTTACAGGTGATTCTAAACAAATGGATTCAAGCAGCTCACCCACCTCATCCTCTTCAGGTAATTTCTCTTCTCCTTTCTTCTCCTTTACAGGTGGTTCTAAATAAGTGGATTCAGGCAGCTCACCTACATCATCCTCTTCAGGTAATTTCTCTTCTCCTTTCTTCTCCTTTACAGGTGGTTCTAAACAAGTGGATTCAGGCAGCTCACCTACATCATCCTCTTCAGGTAATTTCTCTTCTCCTTTCTTCTCCTTTACAGGTGGTTCTAAACAAGTGGATTCAGGCAGCTCACCCACCTCATCCTCTTCAGGTAATTTCTCTTCTCCTTTCTTCTCCTTTACAGGTGGTTCTAAACAAGTGGATTCAGGCAGCTCACCCACCTCATCCTCTTCAGGTAATTTCTCTTCTCCTTTCTTCTCCTTTACAGGTGGTTCTAAATAAGTGGATTCAGGCAGGTCACCTAACTCATCCTTTTTAGGTAATTTCTCTTTTCTTTTCTTCATCTTTACAGGTGGTTCTAAACAAGTGGATTCAGGCAGCTCACCTAACTCATCCTTTTTAGGTAATTTCTCTTTTCTTTTCTTCATCTTTACAAGTGGTTCTAAACAAGTGAATTCAGGCAGCTCACCTACCTCATCCTCTTTAGGTAATTTCTCTTCTTTCTCCTCCTTTACAGGTGGTTCTAAATAAGTGGATTCAGGCAGCTCACCTACCTCATCCTCTTCAGGTAATTTCTCTTCTCCTTTCTTCTCCTTTACAGGTGGTTCTAAATAAGTGGATTCAGGCAGGTCACCTAACTCATCCTTTTTAGGCAATTTCTCTTTTCTTTTCTTCTCCTTTACAGGTGGTTGTAAATAAGTGGATTCAGGCAGCTCACCTAACTCATCCTTTTTAGGTAATTTCTCTTTTCTTTTCTTCATCTTTACAGGTGGTTCTAAACAAGTGGATTCAGGCAGCTCACCTACCACATCCTCTTTAGGTAATTTCTCTTTTCTTTTCTTCATCTTTACAGGTGGTTCTAAACAAGTGAATTCAGGCAGCTCACCTACCTCATCCTCTTTAGGTAATTTCTCTTTTCTTTTCTTCATCTTTACAGGTGATTCTAAACAAGTGGATTCAGGCAGCTCACCTACCACATCCTCTTTAGGTAATTTCTCTTTTCTTTTCTTCTTCTTTACAGGTGGTTCTAAATAAATGCATTCGGGCAGGTCACCTAACTCATCCTTTTTAGGTAATTTCTCTTTTCTTTTCTTCATCTTTACAGGTGGCTCTAAATAAGTGGATTCAGGCAGCTCACCTACCTCATCCTCTTTAGGTAATTTCTCTTTTCTTTTCTTCATCTTTACAGGTGGCTCTAAATAAGTGGATTCAGGCAGCTCACCTACCTCATCCTCTTTAGGTAATTTCTCTTTTCTTTTCTTCATCTTTACAGGTGGCTCTAAATAAGTGGATTCAGGCAGCTCACCTACCTCATCCTCTTTAGGTAACTTCTCTTTTCTTTTCTTCTTCTTTACAGATGGTTCTAAATAACTGGATTCAGGCAGCTCACCTACCTCATCCTCTTTAGGTAACTTCTCTTTTCTTTTCTTCTTCTTTACAGATGGTTCTAAATAACTGGATTCAGGCAGCTCACCTAACTCATCCTCTTTAGGTAGTTTCTCTTCTCCTTTCTTCTCCTTTACAGGTGGTTCTAAATAAGTGGATTCAGGCAGCTCACCTATATCATCCTCTTCAGGTAATTTCTCTTTTCTTTTCTTCTTCTTTACAGGTGCTTCTAAATAAGTGGATTCAGGCAGCTCACCTAACTCATTCTCTTTAGGTAATTTCTCTTTTCCTTTCTTCTCCTTTACAGGTGGTTCTAAATAAGTGGACTCAGGCAGCTCACCTACCACATCCTCTTTAGGTAATTTCTCTTTTCTTTTCTTCTTCTTTACAGGTGGTTCTAAATAAGTGGATTCAGTGAGCTCACGTAACTCATCCTTTTTAGGTAATTTCTCTTCTCCTTTCTTCTCCCTTACAGGTGGTTCTAAATAAGTGGATTCAGGCAGCTCACCTACCACATCCTCTATAGGCAATTTCTCTTTTCTTTTCTTCATCTTTACAGGTGGTTCTAAACAAGTGGATTCAGGCAGCTCACCTACCACATCCTCTTTAGGTAATTTCTCTTTTCTTTTCTTCTTCTTTACAGGTGGTTCTAAACAAGTGGATTCAGGCAGCTCACCCACCTCATCCTCTTTAGGTAATTTCTCTTTCTTTTTCTTCACTTTTACAGGTTGTTCTAAATAAGTGGATTCAGGCAGCTCACCTACCTCATCCTCTTCAGATAATTTCTCTTTTCTTTTCTTCATCTTTACAGGTGGTTCTAAACATGTGGATTCAGGCAGCTCACCTACCTCATCCTCTTTAGGTAATTTCTCTTTTTTTTTCTTCACCTTTACAGGTGGTTCTAAATAAGTGGATTCAGGCAGGTCACCTACCTCATCCTCTTTAGGTAATTTCTCTTTTCTTTTCTTCTTCTTTACAGGTGGTTCTAAATAAATGGATTCAGGCAGCTCACCCACCTCATCCTCTTCAGGTAATTTCTCTTTTCTTTTGTTCTTCACAGGTAGCTTTAAATAAACGTAATCAGTGTTAATCTCCTGACAAATATCAGAGCAACTCTGATTTACTGTGATACAAGATACAGCGTTACTTTCCTCATCCGTATTATCATTATGCTTCCACTTCTTTTTCTTCTTTTTCTTTTGGGAAGCATCCACTCCAGTTTCATTACTAATGTCACTTTCCAGTTCCACACAAGAATTACCTAACAAAGACTGCTGCTTCTCCTGCTTCTTTTTTCTTTTCTCCTTTTTAAAGCCTTCACCACTCTGTGCTGCTTGATCTTCAAGCAAAAGTAGAGAAGCAGAGCAAAGCTCTGCATCCTGTACGCTTTCTCTTTCATCATTTTCATGTTCCTTATGTTCTTTGTATTTTTTCTTTTTCTTCTTCTTCTTCAGAAGATCCTGAACTTGAAAATCATCTGCACTTGCTGTCATCTTTTTTCTTACCTTAAATAAAAGATACGGGGTTTACTCAAGTATTACAATTAATGCATCGTTACACAGGTAAAAAACAAACAGGAAAAAACAATATGTGAACAAAAGAGGCCCCCTCCCCCCCAACATTAAAATACTACAGAACAATTCGACATTATCTTAGAAGCATACAATGAAGATACTTACTTTTCAATGCAGCTAATTTTGCAGTGGGACTATCAAATTGTGATGCCTTCTTCATCAAACAGATGTGCATCACAGCTGTGTTCTGCTTTGAAATTGCCTTCCTATAACAAAGAAACATTTCAGTAAGTTGATTCTGAATAACTAAACAACAACAGACTACTATATCCATAGAATCAACTAAATTGGAAAACTCTTTAAGATCAGCAAGTCCAACCTTTACCCCACCACCAACCCATGGTACTGAAGGCATCTTCTACAGTTTGTGAATACTTCCAGGGACCGGGCTCCACCACGGCCCTGGACAGCCTGTTCCAATGCCTGAGATTTGGAATCGTTCCTAATCTCCATCTAAACCTCCCCTGGCTTAGTTTAAAGACATTTCCTCTTGTCCTATCCCTCTGCTTCCTGCACCAAAACAGCAAACTAAAAATAACCAGGAAATATTAAACTAATCAGCATTAAAACCAACTGCCCTAGTTAGAAGCGTCTGACTGGCTTCACCCACGTGCCGACAGGCCCAGGCCCAAACCCAACCAGGACCCGCCAGCTCCCACAGCGCCTGTAACCAGCACCAGTACGCACACACAGAGGCCGCAGCAGGCCTAAGGGCGGGCTGTGGGTCAGCGCCCCGCGGCAGCCCCCGCGCACCGGCCGCTCCCCTCCGCCTCTTACCCGGCACTCCCGAGGGCGAGGGAGGCACCCGGAACAACCACCACAGGCCTGTGTGTGGCACCAAGGCGGGCGAACCGCAGCCCCCCCAGGAGCCCTAACACGCTCCCGCGCCGGTGCAGGCCCTCCCCGCCTCCGCCCGCCACATAACGAGAACGAGACACCTCAAGGCCGCCAGCGCCGCCGGTAATCCCACCTTAACACTGCTCCCACTGCACCCTGCTGCCGGCCTTTCCGTTCCACCCTCCCCGCCTTCCCGCCACAACAGAGGAAGCGTTCCCAGACGGACCTAGCAAAGTGACGGACCAGCGGCGTGGGACCGTGGTTGCTAGGAGACGGGGCACCGCCATTACCCCCCCCTTCAGCGCTGTGGGGCTGGAGCCGGAGATCCGCTGCTGAGCTCTCCCTGCTCCGCTGCCACATCCACGGCCACGCCGCCTGCTTCAGCCCCGGCCCCCCCCCACCACGGTGCGGGGTGATCCCGGCAGCGACATGGCGGGCGGCAAGGGGGCGGCCCCGCGGAGACCGCTGACCCTGTCTGAGGTGGAGCCCGGCAGCGAGAGCGAGCGGCTGGGGGTGGCCCGGGACAGCATGTTGTGCAACCCGCTCATCATCAAGGTGAGACACACGGTCCCTCCCCGCCGGTCCCGCTCTATGCCCGGGTACTACCCACACCTCGCCCGTAGCGGCGGACGGGGCCCCGGAGGATGGGGAGGGGTCCCGGTCCCGCGGCAGCCCCTTGCACCGCAGGCGAACAGGGCAAAAATTGCCTGCTAAAGCACGTGGGGAGTGACAGCAGCTGAAAACAGAGGTTTCCCCCCTATTAATTTACATGGCGAGGAGGGAAAAATCGCGCTGCTCCTCGAGCAGCTCCGTGGTTGATCCTCGTTAAGCACCCGGTAAGCCCCGGCTGGAGACCGGGTTTTCAAACCACGCTGTCACCCCCCCAGCGGAGGGGTTCTGGGGTGGGACAAAAACCCTGCCCCCTATATTGGGATTTATAGACCGGCTGTGGAGGTGACGGTCCGTTCACAAACTCCTGACACTTCTCACCTTACCAATCCCACTGTACTCCAGTCCCGTGGATAGGCTGAGCTCTGGGCGGGACTTGGAAAGCTGTCAAACCGACACCCACGGAAGGTCGCGCTCTACCCCCGCCCGCCCTGGAGTCCCGCATTCCCTCCAGCCGCAGCTGAAGTACAGCTCTCGTCCCCTGGATGGCACTCGCAGAATGGCTTCGTGCCCCGACCAGCCTTTTCCCGTCCCAGTCTCCCCCCCCTACGGTCACGCCGCCGGCCCGGTGCGGAGCGCCACGATGCTCTGGGGTCGGGATCGCGGCTCTGGGGTCGGGATCGCGGCTCTGGGGCAGTGCGGAGGGAAAGGGACGAAGGCTGCAGCCCCGCGGCTGGCACCGAGCGGTTCCACCGGCTGCGCTTTCCCTGTTGTCCGGGGGAGGGCAGCCAGCTTCGCTCAGAGCGTTGGTTTCCCACCGCAGCAAGCGGTGACATTTAGACGCGACTGTACAGTGGTACTTTAACTCCAGTTCCCTTGCTAGCCCGGCAGCGGCAGGCTTGGAATTAAGACGTAAATTTTCGAAATATCACAGAAAATTTGAGTCTTGCAATCCTGATTTCCTTAGTTTTAGCTTGTGAAACTCTTAAAATCGAAATGTTATTGGGAAGGCAAAGAAAAAAGTAGGGCTTGCATCATAACCCAAAAGCAGCTTCACTTTTCAAATCCACAGCTTGTACTTTCTTTTCCCGGGATGCTCTGATAGGAAATTGCAGGATCTTTGCTTAGAAGTGAGATCAGGGTGAGGTTTCCTCATCTACCTGTGTATTGTCCCCTGTCCCGCCAAAGAGCTGCTGTGGGCAGATGTGGCCAAACCCCCTCAGGGTCGAGGAGGCAGCCCCACGTCTTCCCCAGCCCTCCAAACTGCTTCTTAGAAAAGTGTGCTAGTAAATACATCTTTAGGTGATGCATGAATATGAATCAGAAGAGCATATCAGTATATGGCATTTCAGGTACGTGAAGGCGTAAGTGCAGGGGTTAGGTTGATCCTGCTTATTTTCACGATGCATTTACATTCCCTAAGTTGAAATAGGCATAAACCACCCATTAGTGTTGTAAATCCCAGGTCTACAGGTAGAACACTGGGGTAATCCTACAAAGCGCAGCTCCTCTCCTGTAGTGTCTGTGTTGCAGGTAGATTATTTGTGGTCATTAAAATTACATTGACTGATGTGGAAGTTCTGCCCATCTGGATGGGAGCATTTGGTCAGGCACTGTCTGTCCCCAGCGCTCACCTGATGTCTTCTCCCATCAGCTTTAGGGCTTGAGTTTTTTCTCAGTGTCACTCTTACAGAGCATCCTGGTAGTGGGAATTCTGAGCAGTTATATATCACAGGATGTTTTAATAAGACCCAATCTGGATTTCTATCTGGCTAAGTGAAACTAAAGGTTGAGCAAGTTTTGAGAAAAAGTAGTGTTAAATTTTAGCATTCTGGACAACTTCTGTTCTCTCAGGGCTTCCTTGCAGGAGGTGTCCTTCACTGTAAGCTAGCCTGGAGGGATGCAGAGAGATCTGTATCCAGCTGGTATAATCCTTCAGCACAAAGTAACAGAGCTAATAGCAGAGATGCTTTTACTCTTCAAACCAGGGGTAATTTCACCTTATTGTAACTTAGGTTGTAAAGTTTGTGGAGCAAACTCCACATCTCCTGCCAGCTGCCTTCCCTCAGTGCATTGTGCCCCACTGAATGCTGAATGTATCAGTGTGTCTTTCACTGCCAGGAGGTGACAGTGACAGGATGGCAGTTTATTGGATAAGCACTGACCCTCAGCCAGACCTACTCACTGGGACCAGTAGTGGCATACACAAAGCATCAGCCCTCTGCCACATCTCTTCATGCTTCCAGCTGCAATCGGACCTCTTCCCACCCCAGGAGAGTCCTGGGGACCAGACATTTTTGAACAGTTACCAAAGGAGATGGCCAGCAGGTCCCAACCTTCACACTGTGCAGTGCCACCTGAAAACCAGGGGCACAAAGATGGTTTAGAAGAAAGGGACAAAAGGTTTTGAGACAACTGCTGCTTGGACAAGTGCTTCTGGCAGCCATGGGTAGGAACTGAGGAACACACAGCTCCACCAGCTGTTGTGAAGGTTCACCAGACAGCAAGTACACAAGAACCTGAGGCCCAGTAGTGATGGATGGGACACTTAGTCCCTGATCTTCCTTCCAACTGGCATTCAGTCCCCAAAACCCTAATGCAAGCATGACAGAGCTCCTACTTTGCAGCAGCTAACAACAGGATCCCCTAAGTTCTCTCCCAGTTCTCTCACATATCTTCTAAATGAGGCATCACATGCAAACAGAGACCACTGCACAGACGACTGCCTTCATTTCTGGCTGACCCTCCTGCCTCAGCTCTGCCCAGCCCCATCATTCCACTAGGATGTGTCCACACATGCCAGCTATCTTTTTCACATAAAGATTTCTAGGGATGAAAGCTCTATTTTTCATTGGTAGAAGGTGATATGATTAATCAAGGAATTAATTTAGTTTATCAATATATATTTGCTTGCAGGAAACACTGAGGAAATAAACTGGGGAAACTACTTTATCTACTGATGCCAGTAGAAATCTGAGCAAAGCATTTTTGGGTAGTCTGTTTTTACCAGTAAAGCCTTAGCCAAGCACTTTTCTCACTACAAAGTTAAAACTACTGCTTTACAAAACTAAGCCAGCTCTGGGCAAGAAAATTCACCACCCTTAACCCCCAGCATGCCTGACAAACACTCCAGAAAAAGCGGCCAACACCAGTTTGATTTAATTTATATTAACATTTTTTGGATATTGTGCCCTTATTAAGTTCAACATATCACTGCCAAAGTCATTGTGTCACCAGCCTGGAGCTGCACATAGCCCTGGTGTGTGAAGGTAAAAATGCCAGACCCATGTGCCAAAGCATCCACTTACTGTCAAAGAGCAGCCAGGGGACACGCAGAACATAGGGAACTGCTCTCCATGTATCCTCTTCAAAGCCAAGAGACACCAACCTGCCTGCAGAGCCCCAGCCAGAGAATTCAACATTAAAAAGTTGTTTCAGAACTGGCAGTTCCGAGGAGGATGGTGATGGTGCTTTGTGGGCTATGAAAGGCTGCCACCAAGTCTCCCACGCTGCAGGAGAAACAGGTTTAACAAACTGAAGTTTACAGCACTACTGGAATATGTAATATCTGGTTTAGAAGCTTATTATTTACATGACAACTGATGCCAGGCTCTTTTTATTGGCCTGAATGCTAGGTCATTTAGGATTCATTTTCCTAAGCTTTTCTCTTCAGCCCTGAGGCTGGATGTTTTTCTTTTTTTCCCAAACAAGATTTGAAATAATAAAGCTACAGGACTGAGGCAATAAAAATTCAGCAGTTACAGTCTCCTGAAGGAGAATATAGGATGAAAAACCTCAAAAACCAAAGGAATGGGCACACTGGTAGCCTCAGTTTTGGCAATCACAGCAAAGGAAGAGTTAGCTAGGCCAGGGAGGATGAACTGCCCTTCTCAGTGGAGGAAGAGGACACACAGGAGAGCTTGCCCCATGCTTATCTGAGAGCCTGCTCCATGCTGAGGGAGGGCAGCTCAGTGTGGGGGACCACAGGGCACCAACTGGGTGGCCTTGCGACTCCACTAACTACACAGGTACCAAGTGAAGGCAGAAATCACCCACCAATTTCCTCCTTTTTCCTTTCATGCCTATTGAACCTTATCATGAAGTATTTCTGAGCTGTCAGACTTATCACTGAGCAAGGAGCTGCTTGGAGCTGTTGCAAAATCATTTTGGTTTCTGGAACAATCCGTAGGAAGGACAGTTAAGAAAAGCAAGTAGAACCATTTTACCGAACTAAAATTGCGTCACATCATGCCAAAACCCCAAAGCTCTATGCAAGATAAACATGGGTAAATGCACTGTGTGAACAAGAATATTATAGCTCCGAGTTTTAAATTACATGCATCACAAACATCTTTTGCAACAATAATTACTGAAAGGGCAGGTTTTCCATCAGTGGACTTGGAGCTGTTATTAATAGACCTGCATTGTGGCTATAATAGGGCTTTTCCATTGAAGGTTGTGCCCAGTGTTTGAGCCTTTAACCCTCACCTTTCTTTATTTTTTTAAACCTTCCCTCCAAATTCACTCATCTTTAGCACACCAAAAAGCCAAGGTAAACCTGAACTCATGCTCTCACCTCACCAAGCCCTCTCTCAGGGCAAAGCCTAGAGACACCACTCACCTTTGTAATCCTCATCCATCTTTCTGCAAGGACTGCTAACCTGCACAGGAAGGGAAGATGATAAAAAAAAGGCTTCCTTATATACATACCCATCACTGAATGCTCAGACAGTGACTAGATATGAGCTATTGGAACCTCACAGGTGTAGTGTCTCTGTGACAGCTGGGAACGACAGAGAGCAAAATCATTCCTTCTCCATAGAGCACCTATGTTCTGAGTGTGCAGGTCTCTATGGTCTTCGTTGTCGCTGCAGCACATCTCTGCTCTCCTCGAGTGCTTTGTGGGTTCAGGCACAGCCTGAGAGCCCACAGTCACTTCCATGTTCACCAAGAGCCCCAGGTGCAGCAAACTCCGCTGACAGCATCACAGCCCTCCAAGCAGCTTCTAAAGCATTGAGATAACTTCCTTCAGTTTTTAGCTTGTTGATTTAAATTACTCCATTCCCTCTCCTGATACCTGCTCTCAGCTGTTTATAATCAATGCATCTATTGAAAACTTGACTGGGGACTAGATTTTAGCCTGTCTCTAGTGAATAACCCCTGCAAGACAGAGCAGTGTAGCCACAAGTACTGTGAGCCGTAGGTGGAATAGGTTGTCTCTATTTGGTGTTAATTATACTATACCTCAAATCACTCCATGTGCTGAGCATCCTGCCTCCTGTGCTTGCTGCTTGGGGATGCTGAGGATTAATTAGTGTTTATGCAGCATTTTGGGTGCTTATTACTATTATTATTATATCACTACTACTATTACATTTTTGCAATCTAGGGCCAGTGTTATGCTTTTAAAAACATATTCTGAAATGTCTATACAGTACAGCTCAATAATTCATTAGAGAAATAAGCTAATGAAGGGCTGGTTAGTCAAATAATCATTAGGTTTGGTTCTGAGCTTTGTTTTTCCAATGCTCTGACTTCTAAGGGTTTTCTTCTCAGCATGAACTCATTTAAGATTTTAAATGAATGATTTGGTACACTAAAAATTAAACTCCTTATGAGCTTTAGTGCTCTCCCAGATTTTGCACAGACACCACTAAATAAATAAGGCATTTCCAAGAGGCAAATAAACATTCTGCATGAATGAAAGGGGGGGGGGGGGTGTCTTCTGGTTATTTGAAGACAGGACTTAGGCTACGAGCTGCCAGCCGTGATTCAGCAGGCAGAGGGACAGCCCCAGCAGCACCGGGCACTGAAAGCTGCTCACCCCCATGATCAGCAGGCAGTATGTAAAAGCAAGCAAAAGGACATTTTGATCCTTTATGTGAACAAAACAATGCAAATTGGTGAGACTAATAAGCCCTGAAACATTACAAGGTGAATGCCTTTTATGTTTGAGAAAATCTTCTATGTTTATTTGTCTAATACAATGGAAATAAAGCTTCAAAGGCCCTTTGATTTAAAAGTGCATTATTGAAGTCAGCCAGCACAATGATAACCGTTAGACCAAATTGTTGCATTATGACCCTAATAGCAGCGTTGTCATAGGAGAGAATCTGTACAGCCTCTTCCTTGAGTTGCTGGGGATGTAAAAGCAGAAATTCAGCCAAAGGGCAAGAGAATGTAGACTGAAAAGGGAAAAAAATAAAATGAATAAATGGGTCCATGCACTCACAGTGCATCCAGAGCTGCAGCAGGCTATAAATTTTTATGATGAACCTAAAATTCAGGCTTTATTGTCTAAAAGATTTAAGAAACTTTGGGGGAGAGCCAATACCAGTTTATGGCATTGGCCCTAAACCATGTTAGTCCTAGAGATGGTTTTCAGACTAATTCAAATTGAAGACACCATGCAGAAGGTCAGGGATATTCCAGATGCTGATACCTTTTGCCCTTATCCACAAACCCTTCTCTAGGGATACTGAACCCTGAGAGCACCAGAGACCCAGCTAAAACTTGTAAGAGCACAGGAATACCTCTGCCTTATTTCCTCTCTGTCCTTGCTTCTCACTCTACCAACAATAAACATCCTTTCTGCTCTGGAAAAGGCACAAGAAAATGTCCTGAGCATAAAGGGGAAGCTGGTGGAGGCTCAGTAAGGGCTGTCCTGGACAGGACGTCATTGGGCAGGCAACCAGTGGGCAGCTGCCCGAAGAAAAGGCAAAAATCTCATAATTTTTAAACCTTTACCACAATATTTTCCCTCTTTCTGAGTGCTGCCCAGCAGAATATAAAGCAAATGAAGCACATTCACAGCAATCACAAGGACCAGTGTTTCCAGTTCCACAATTCTGCAAGTTTTCAGCCAGGCTTTCCCCAAGGGCAGGTTGCTTGCCATGCAAATTCTTAGAGATACTCTTATGCTTAATTATTGAATTTGTGAAGCCTTTGTCATCTTGCAGGGATTGTTTTGCTCTTGCTTGGCTGCTCACATTGTACAGATTAGACAGAACCTGCAATTCGGAGGATATTTTCTTTTTTAACCATTTGTATAAAATAAATGAACACTGACTTTTCTACTCACATTTATCTGAAGCAGCGTGGAAAAGGAGCCTATTACTAGAATTCCAAAACAGCCTTTAAGAAAAACTTCAATATCAAGGGAAATATCTCTAGTTTGATTTTTTTTTTTTTAAGCAAACCAACGTGGGGTTTGTGCCTAAAAATCTTACAAGTGAAACCTGATTAAAAATAATAGCATAACTCCCAGGCTGGAAGGAGGGGGGGGAGGAATCAGAAAAGCAAACACAGTGAACCTCATATTGCTTAGTGAAGAGTAAACTAGCCTGAAAAATGAAGATGGTTTTAATCACAAGCTTCGGGCTGCTCGCCAGGTAGAAGAGCCCCTTTGTTTGCAGCATGCTTTTCAACTTCCCAATGTCCCTTTACATTCCCTCTCTCTATCACCCTCCTGCTCGCTGCCTGGGCGCTTCTGTAGTTCCCAGGAGATCCCAATCAGGAGGCGACTGTAACTACACTAATCACAGTGTATTACAGTGTGTTAAAGCCCTGATACACACCGAAACGTGGCTGCGTCCATCCCCACGCTCTGCCCCTCTCCTCCCTTGCCGCAGTGCCACAGTGAGAGGCTCCCGCGCTACCTCTGCCACCATAAGCAGGGAGCTAAAATTGTTATCAGATTAGCCCCAGCAATGAAAAGCACAGTCCCAGATCACACTCGCAGTTAGTTAGCATTTAGATAGGCTGGGACTGGGGTCTATACAATAGGCATCAAAGCTGAACTCTTGGTGCAGCGAGAGGGATTAATTTCTTTAACCAACATGCCTGATCTGGCCTATCTCATTACCCTGCCTTGTCAGTGTCGATGTTAGATTTGATTGAAGATTATACCATTTAGGCCTTTCCCCTGTTTTCTACAGAAATCAGGCCTATTGAATTGCACATTCTTCCATGGGCCCCTGTCAATACTCAGTGGCCTGAGCCTCTAATTCTGCTTCATTTAAACTTCATCAACTTTTCCAATCAAGTGGAAGGATCTGAAATAGGCTCCGTAAGCAGAAAGGCCCTTTTTCCTTTTGTCAGATAATTTATTCTGTTTTCTCTTTCTCTCCCCCTCGCTTCCCCACCTCTTTCTCTTTTTCTTCTTTTCGCTCCCTTTCCCTGATGCTGAAAATGAGATTACAGTATTTAAATGACTATGATAATCAATCGGGGGACCTTGAGCCGAGATTGAGGTTAATTTTTCTTAGCAGAACAAAGAAGCGTGATGCCATCGGGGATTTGAAGGTGCAATCTGTGTTTCATGCTTGTATTCCTCCCCCCCCCCCCAATCCAAAAGTGCAGGTTTTAGGAGTCTTTTCTTGTTCCTAACTCTGCAGTTGTTGTGATTTTTAAGAGACAGCCCCTAGGAGAGAAGAAATGTAATTTTGGGCTGATAAACAGCTTAACAGCCTTCAATCAACAATTTTAAAGGGGGGGGGGAATCACTTACATGGTGTGACTGCAGATCTAATGAAAGTGCTATCATTACCTTATTTATTTTTAACTATACTCAGAATAATTTCCAGCAGTGCTATGAGCAGTCCTTCCAGCCTGCACAGCAGAGTTGTGAACTTTTAACTGAAAACCCCTTTCATCCAGCCACTCCACTTCGACTTAGCAACTTTCTTGGTTGCCTGGAAAAAGTCAAGCTTTTTGTCATGATTTTACTAATCACAAAAGGAATTGCTTACGTTTATCATAAAACCTGCATTGAAACGGCTTGTTAAGGCTTTAGAAGATGTATTTGTGGTTGTAACACGCCAACATTCACTCACCTGGATGTTTCCTCTACTCTTCTCAGGAAGAGAGAAAGAGAAAAATATGCATTTCTTTGCTTCCATCCTAGCTGTCTTGTCAGTGCTGTTTTACATGCTGCCACCCAATGTTATCTTTTATTTGTGTCAGGAGAGAGGATTTGACAAGTTCAGTATACAATGTTCATTTGGCAAGGCAAATTTTTCATACCAATTTTGAGTAGAAAATGAAACCATCTTTCAACACAACGAGCAACATCATTTCTGGACAGACTTATTATGAGAAGAAGAATTGAAAGAACTTTATTTCACTGCATGAAAAAACAAACCAAAAACCCAAACCTGGAAATGAGACATTTAAACAAAAAAATAAATACATGTATGGATGTTTGAGGCCAGCAGTTTGTTTTGGAAATAAAAAACAACCACCGGCTGCTGTCAGGTAGCTGTGGCCTCCTTTTTGTTAATCAGATGCTGCTGAATTTAGTCGCATCATAATGTAGCTTTGTTTCAAATCTTTTAAGCTGTCAGCAGATAGGGAAAGGCAGACCGACTTCAGAAGTTTTGTCACTGTTCACCAAGCAAAGCAGCCATTAGTTAACAGCAAATAGGCTGAGGCTTACAAAGATGCCCGGAGCCCAAACAAGGGAGGGACTAGGGCATTTGAAAGGGCTCCGGATGCTTTGCCTCCATCCAGAATCCCAAATGTAACTTCTGCTGGTGCTAAATACTCTGAACAATTCAATTAATGGAAAAAATCTAGTTATAGATTCTGCCGTCCCATGTGTGTCAGGAGTTACATGGGGACAAGCAGCTTCCTTGGGCATAAGACTTTATTTTTTGAGAGCCCACTACCACAATGGGCTTCTAGTCCTTGACAAGGACTAGCTAATGCAACTGCGGTGTGAGGACCCAGGCCAGGTAAACGAGTATTCTCTAAGGAAGACCATGCATTGAAAAAGGGCTGTCAAACCTTCACTGGGTGACAGGTCCATTTCAGCACTCCAGATTCCTGCAAGGCTGGGAGGTGAAACCTGAGGGCCATGTATGTCCTCCATGTTCTGCACATTCACAGGAAACCTCAACCTGTGGTAGGAATCAGGATGCTCTCCAATACCCCAGCTACTTCCCTCTGTGAATTTTACCCCCCAAGAAAAGAAGCAGCAGCCCAAAGATGCCAGTTCAACCCCTTAGGTATGGTAGAAGCTGTGTTTCAGACAGTGGTTTGCCCTAACAGTCTTCTCTCCTTAAACAAATGTTGACTCACTACAGGGAAATGAAAACTCCATTAGACATTGCCACATCGTAGAGCAGACCCCATTACAGCGGTGGAGTTACAATTAATTGGTTTCCTCAGATATTACTTAATTCTGGGAAGGCACAGAGAGATGGGAAGGACAAGGCTGATCTAAACAATAATTTCCTAAAATAACATAATCTAAATAAACTAATGAAGTGATTACACAGTCACTAATCTAAATATAAAGAAGAGTCAAAAGAAAATATTGGGTACATAACAATTTAGAAATATCAGTAGAGTTAATACCATTCTGGTTAGACTCATCATGAGGCAATCAGCATTTGTGCTAAGGGGTGGATGCTAGTTTAGCAGAGTAATTATATTTCATAATATATATATATTTCATGCACCATTTCAAAGAGTCTCATCATCTGCTTTTGTTTGGTCTGCTGTTCATGCTACTTAACTTTTCAGCACACAGATTGAAGGGGCCACTGCCTATATGTCACTGCAGGTTTGGGGGCTGTTTTTTAACTAAGGTTGATTTTGGATTAGGAAATGTAGAGCAAAATAACCGTAAAAAGAAACTCTCTAATATGGAGATGGAATAATTACTACTTTAGAAATAGTCCAACCCAGGCAGGGCCTTCCATGGGCAGAGAGGCAGCAGGGAGCTGCATCAGTGGCATGTAATGCCATGGGGCTCCCAAGAGCCAGGCAGCAGGCTAGGAGCATGCATGCCCCATGGCACCCCATACCCCCCACCTGCTGCCAGTGCAGGGAGCAGATCCAGCCATCTCCCATGTAGCTTTACTGTGCAAAGCTTATTTGCTTGCATTATCAGGGTGAGAAAGTATTTGGCTTCAGGAGAATAAATAACTAGGCTTTATAAGTCATTAAAAATGTATTACAAGAAAAATACAGCACAGCTATAAATAGAAAACAAAGCAACTCTTATATAAACTTTTACAATGGCTGTTACTCAGACTATTTGTCACTGTCTGGTTTTTAAGCAAGTTTAGCAACCATGACCTCCAGAGACCAACAACCCTTGAAGCTTCGGTCCTCCTGCTCAGGTCCTGGCAAGGCATTGGCCTCTGTAAACCTCCCTCGGTTCTGATGATGAGCATTTAGGGGGAGTACCTCAGGTCCACCTTTGTTTTACTTCCGTAAAAGATATCACCTCTCTATGTAAACTACCACAGACACAGATTTTGACTTCATACAAAATGAACTTTATGTAGCAATACATTAATCATTCAGTGATAGTCATTACTTCCTTCCTTTTTGTTATTACTCTAACAGTAGTTCATGTAGATGAAATCAAGCTCATGGCATCATTTTTAAACCTTTTCTGAGAGAATATGCACATTTAGTTTCTTAAGAAGCTGCTATTATTCTTCAACATTCTGCTCAGTGCTCTCAACTGAAGCCAGGGCAAGCCTGCTTTCAGGGGGAGGTAAACTGGACTTCATGGACTTCAGTGCTAGCAGTTCTTGTCCTCTGGTCTGATCTTCTATATCTCGTGTCAAGCAAAAAAATGGTAGATTTAGGTGTCTAATATACATTAATGCAACTTGGCAGCCAGCAGCAAAGAAGTTACCTCAAACTTTCAGCTAACTTCAGCTGTATATTAGAACTTTAAAAGTTCAAATCCAAAGATGAAAACCCCATTGTAGAGTACTTGCAGCTCCTAAACTCCTGTGTGTATCTAATGGGTTGCTCCAAGGGAACGGCTGGGTTGGCTTGGCTGGACAGTGATAAACAGAGATTGCAGCACCCAGGTGTACTGAAGAGACCATAGTTACATATTCAGGTCAGGAAAAGTAGGCCACAGATCTAAATGGGGACTCCTAATAGTCTGAGTTGTGGTTTCTTGGTAAAGAGGACATTTTGTACCACTTACATCTTAATAAATGTGATGTTTTCATCACTATTCTGCTGGTTGCAAAAGAGGGAGCTGCTGCAGTGTGGTCCAGAATGAAAATGTTCTGTTTGTTTGCAGGACAACAGAATAGCCAAGGGCTGGAAGGCAACATTCAGATTTTCCCAAGTGTTGGGCTGCTTAGGATCCAGGGTCACGCTGTCCTGTTTGTTTCCATTAATGTATCTGACCCTGCAAGAGGGTGAGAGATCTTGGTCTTCATCTGATTCCTCATTGAAATGTAGTGGCTCAGACTAGTTTCAAAACAAGCCTGTGCACTGCAGTGCGGCTCATTCACACATTACATGGGTGTGATGGAAAGCAAATCTGTTCTTCTGCACAGACATGCACTCTGGACTGCGCTCCCAGGTATATGGAGACTGCTGGCCAGGACCACTGGCTGATGGTTTCTTAACAGAACAGACCCGTTAGGCTCATTTCTGTAAGAAATGTGAAATTCAGCAAGCAATGAGTCGAAAAAGCAATTTCCTTTTCATGAAGTGTGGGTGCCTGCTTTGTTTTCATCCTAAACTCACAAGAACCTCTTTCTAAAATGCTCCACCAGCCTCCCCTGGTTGTGGTCTCATTGCTCACCCCTCTCCTGCAAGGCTGTTAGAGTGCAGCAGTGCCTTTAATTTGAGAATTTAACAAGTAATTCTAAATTGGGATGTTGGAAAAACCTGTGATCCTATCTACCATGTCTATCCTATCAGATGTGGTTCTGTGCTTTCACTGCCTTGAAAACAAAGGGGAAGAAAGTTGAACACATGGTATCCTCAACTAGAAAGGGCTTTGCTGTAAGAGGATATTGAGTTGTTTTGTAAAGCCCAATATTACGCTTGAATTATGCCTGAATAAGGAAAAAGTACATTGTTAAAGAGCCCTAAACATGGACCATAGTGGATCTTCTTTCTTCCAAACCCTTCAGAGGTGTTGTTTTTGGCTGTTAATGATTTGGTATTGTATTTATAAGCCGGCAGGGTAATCCACAGAGCAGCAGGAGGGGCAGTTCCCTTAAATAAAGCTTTACAATGCTGCTAATTAAAATGATCCTTCCTCTCCCTGTGATGACTAATGAGATAGAAAGAAGAACTGGGGAGGGTTAATGAAAATGTTGCCATGAGATTCCCTATTTTTAATTGGTCTTTTTAATGTTTTAATCTTCTTTATGGTGTGGGGGTGGAAAGGAAGAAATTTTCTTTCAACCTTTCTTGTACCATGCCCAATAGGTTGTATTGAGTAGCATGTGGAACGCGCATTTTTAGCTGTATATTAAGAATCTGTAATCAAAAGTCTGAGACTGAGCATAGCCTTGAGATGGAAGAAGCAATTTTGGACTTCATCGAGAACAGAATCAAGAAATGCGAAACCTGGTTTTACACTCAAGCTTCTAAAACTCCAAGGGAGCATTTGTACCCTGAGGACTGAGGCTAAGATCTATTGTGAAGGACTGGCACTGATGCTCAATAGTATTTAGAGCTTTAGGACATGATGCTCTGTTAAATGCAATATTTATCCCATGAGCATGTCACAGTTCACCTCAGATGTCAAGAATTCAATTAATATTCTATTTAATAGAACACACCGTGACCTAACCTTTTAAGACTCTTAGTGCGTCTGAGGGCTCCTTATTAGTGTCACTCTCTAACTTTCCTTCTCAGCTGATGCATCTAACAACAACTGGGATGGGGAAATTGGGAGCAAGAAGAGAAGGGGAGAGATTTAAATTACTTTTGGACCTCACTGTGAGGATTCAGCAGCTTTATCCCTTGTAAAACTCCGTTTGCAGGGGGTTGGCACATCCCCCTTTTTCCCATTTTTGCAGGGTTGATGTATTGCAAGTTTCAGCTTTCTATGGATTCAAACCCACAAAAGGCATTGCCAAATTTTTCACGGTTAGTACCAGTCTAGCTTTTCATTGGCACAGCATTGCCCCTGCCTCACACTGCATTAGCAAACTTAGGTTCAGGGGACACCATTCATATGGCACCTGCAGGATTAAACCTTTGGCTTGAAATTTTGTCTGTGTACTTTGATGGTGGGTTATAAATGCTCAGAGGTTTTGAAATGAGCGTTGCAGAAATTTCTCTGCACTGCATCTGAAAATTGTCTCTGAGATCCCCTGAATGCATCCTGATTTTTCAGATAGGAGAATTACAGGATTCCTTCTGGCTTTAAGTCCATGAATAAGCAGTGCTGCCTTCTTCCCCCTCCCACTTAGGAGCAGTGGCACTTTACTGCTGAAATCAGAGGTGCAGAAGCAGCTTTTGCCATCCTTCCATCACCTCCAGTAGGCTACTAGGAGAAAGGCATAAAAACCCCAGTAAACTGTGCTTTTCAGATCATATGAAATAGGAGACAGGCTTAGTAACCTGATGGGAATTATATCTACCTTTTTAAAAGAATAGAATTAATTTTTAAAGCTCCTAATTGGGATCTGTTTCAGCCCAGTACCTTTTCTGTGCAAGATCTGTGAAACAGATTAGAAATGGAAAGACACTGAAAGCAAATAACTGGTTTAAATTATTCTGTACTAAATAGCAAAAGCTTTCTTTAAGGCAGCTTAAAGCTTTCTTTAAGTCCCCTGACTTCAGGCAGGCGGGTAGGATGGGGTTAGCACTGCAGAGAACACCTACCGGCAGCTGGGAGGGGGAACACACTATTACCACACCTGTGATTTCAGTAAGATTTGTTGGGAAGATCAACCAATAAATACAGAGTCTGTACCACAGCTCCTTAGAGTGGGAGGAAGGACAGATATTGTGCCAGATATTTCCATGCAACTATATTCATTATTTATGCAGAAGAAGAGATATTTCAGGCAAACAGAGCTGAACCATGAGTGACAAGGTATCTTTCCAGCACATAGGGTGCAGGAAAATTG